CGAGAAGGTCCCCCGGCGGCGGGAACCGGCCGAGGTGGGCGCCGGTGTCCCCCTTCACGGGGATCCCCCCCCCTCCCCCCGCCGTTTTCCCCGATTAACGTTTCACCTCCTCCCGCCCCGCAGAACCGGCCGGGACCCGGCGATGCGGAGCGACCGGTGAGCCCTCCCGTCCCGAGGCTGAGCGGCGGGGAGAATGCAGGAGGCGGAGATGGGGACCGGCGACAAGGTAATTCCTCCCGGGGGGGACACCGACAGCAGCCACCCCCCTCCTCCCCCGGGGGGTCACCCTCTCCCGCGGGCACCACCGGGGGTCGGGTGGGTGACAGCCCCGGCCGTGGAACCGCTGGAATCTCAACGAACGCGGGGGGATTGCGGGGGGGTCGGGGGTGGGAAGAGCATTTTCCCCTTCGCTTTAATTTCCATCCTTCACAAGATGACCCCAAAACCTGAACTTTGTAACGCGCGGGACCTCCCTCCCGACCCCTTTCCTGCCTTCACTCCGAGGGGGTTCGCTCCTTCCTTACAGCTTGCTGCTGCACATCGACGTACACATCCAGCTGAACTGGGTGTTTTTCCTAGAGGGACGAAAAAAGGAGAATTCCCTGGGGAATCCTGCAGGCACCGCCAAAAAAAAATGGTTTCAGGGTCCCCAGGTTCCCTTCAGAAACGGTTTTCAGGGTCCCCACGGTCCCTTTGGGAAAGGTTTTCAGGGTCCCCAGGTTACCCTTGGAAAAGATTTTCGGAGTCCTTTGGTTCCCTTCAGAAACAGTTTTCAGGGTCCCCACATTCCCTTCGGAAATGGTTTTCAGGGTCCCCTGGTTCCTTTTGGAAATGGTTTTCTGGGTCCTTTGGTTCCCTTTGGAAAAGTTTTTCAGGGTCCCCAGGTTCCCTTTGGAAAAGGTTTTCAGGATCCATTAGTTCCCTTCAGAAACGGTTTTCAGGGTCCCTGGGTTCCCTTCAGAAACGGTTTTCAGGGTCCCCAGGTTCCCTTTGGAAAAGGTTTTCAGGGTCCCCAGGTTATCCTTGGAAAAGATCTTTGGAGTCCTTTGGTTCCCTTCAGAAATGGTTTTCAGGATCCCCTGGTTCCCTTCAGAAATGGTTTTCCGGGTCCTTTGGTTCCCTTTGGAAATGGTTTTCAGGGTCCGCAAGTTCCCTTTGGCTTCGAGCCACCCCCCAAAAATGCAATTCATCTTGATCCCACTTTGCCTGTTATCAGCAACTGGATTTATGGCGCTGCTGGGCTTTAACATCCCCATCTTTCATGGTTTGGTTTTTTTTTTTTCCCCTCTTGGTGTGTAGGAAAATCACTCTTTGGAGCCCCACGGGAGCATTTTGAAAACCCCTTTGAAACAAGCGGCTGCCTCGCACTCGGTGCTGACGGAGCTCCAGCCCGACTGCCAGCCTCTCGCCACCCCCACGAAACCTAAAGAAATCCTTCCCGTGGATCCATGGACCCCGACTTCCAACCTGAAAATGCTGATTAGCGCCGCCAGTCCGGAGATAAGGAGCAGGGAGCAGAGAAGGGAACTGTCAAACAACCCCAGCGAGGTCCTACAGGCAAAACACTGTTTGCAGGTACATCGTAAAGGTGTCTTCTGTATTTACTTTTGTTTTTTAAAGTAAGCAGAAGGCTGTTTATTCAGTGTCAAAAGTTATACGTTAACGCACTGCATTGGTTTTAAAGCTTAGATATTTGGAGGATTTACCAAATATAAGTGAGGATATTGCCCACTTACAACGAGAAACGTTTCGCTGGTTTTATTCTGCAGCTGCTGAGGACAAAGGGAAAACACTGGCCCTTTGGCACCGCTCGCAATAAAGCTGTTAAATATCTATGTTTGCGCTTTTATTGTAAAAAAAAAAATAATAAAATATGCAAATCCTTCTTTTCTTATTTCCACGTAGGAGCACTTATCGGGAGACGAATATGAAAAATCTCAACCAAGTCGCAAAGAGAAAAGTCTGGGGTTACTGTGCCATAAATTCTTAGCTCGGTACCCCGACTACCCCAGCACTGCAGAGAATAATTACATTTGCCTTGACGAAGTTGCTGAAGAGCTTAGTAAGTTGATTTATATGCTATTACAGATTTCTTCATGCAAATGTGCCAATAACCCACCCTTTGTCTTAGTGTATTTTTGCTCTGTAAAATTTTGAATGCTTACTGTGTACTGGCAAACTTATTCAAACCCAGCTTTAAACTCTGAATTCTTAGAGCAATTTTTTTTTTTTTATTCAGCGAACTGCATCGAGAAACTCAGAATTATGCTTAGTATAAAATTGCCGATACCACAAATAACCAGTTGCCCTTTTTTTGGGGGGGATCTAGAGATGATGGCTAAGATTAGGGGTTGGATTTTTGTGGCAGGAACTAGCGTTTTTTCAAGCTGAACCCACGACTTCCCGTCCGGTCGTGACATCAAAGCAAAAAACTATTTTCTGCTCTCTATGACAATTTAACTTTTTCATTTTTTATTGCTATTTTTATATCACACCAATGATCTACTGAGAGTCTGGGTTGCTAACATTAAGGTGAAGCTTTTCTATCAGAGCTATGAGATTACGGTATTCTACAGATTATAACGCTGATAACAGTTACAGATACTACTGCTATAGAGTTTTTGGTGTCACTGTACCTTCAGAATATGTTGGAGGACACAGAAAAGGGACCAATTCTTCCTGCATCCTTGTGGCCAAGAAGGCCAATGGCATCCTGGGGGGCATCAGGAAGAGGGTGACCAGCAGGTGGAGAGAGGTCATCCTGCCCCTCTGCTCTGCCCTGGGGAGGCCCCATCTGGAGCACTGGGACCAGTTCTGGGCTCCCCAGTTCCAGAAGGACAGGGAACTGCTGGAGAGGGGACAGCAGAGGGCTACAAAGATGATAAGGGGCCTGGAGCATCTCCCTTATGAGGAGAGGCTGAGGGACTTGGGGCTTTTTAGTCTGGAGAAGAGAAGGCTGAGGGGGGATCTGATCAATGCTTATAAATACTTCAAGGGAGGGTGTCAAGGGGATGGGTCTTTTTTCAGTGGTGCCCAGGGATAGGACAAGAGGAAATGGACACAAACTTGAATCTAAGAAGTTCCACCTAAACATGAGGAGGAACTTCTTTCCTTTGAGGGTGGCAGAGCCCTGGAAGAGGCTGCCCAGGGAGGTGGTGGAGTCTCCTTCTCTGGAGACATTCCAAACCTGCCTGGACACGTTCCTGTGCAACCTGCTCTGGGTGGATCTGCTTTGGCAGGGGGGTTGGACTAGATGATCTCCAGAGCTCCCTTCCAACCCCATGGGATTCTGTGAATTGCAAGTTAAACCAAATTGTCTATATTATTATAGTTTGTACAAAATAACATCTCCTGTAGAAAATGTCTTGTCAAACCCAACAGCTTAACAGACAAAAGGACAGTGTGTTAATAGAATGACACAAATAAACAAGTTACAGAACAGTTGTCTACCATGGGTTTCTCAGGATCTTTATGAGATCTTTAGGAGATGATCTAAAATCGATGCGGTGAAAAAATGCTTTGGGTTTCTTTAAAGCTCTGTTTGAAACCCATCAAATGGCTCTGCGGGCAACAGTAAGTTTTATTTCTCAAGGAATGCTGTAAAGCGAGTGTAACTGTAGAAAAGCAAGCCCTTCCATATCTAAAGCAAGAATTGTTTTCTTTTCCTTGCTGGCGAGATCTGTGAGGTCTATTTGCAGAAACCTTCGTTAATGAGGAATTGGCCAAAGTGGCTGAGAAAGAGGGGAAAGTACAGGGAACCGATCCCTTCTCTGTGCAAACCACGGTTCAGGTAAATGCATGACAACACGTACTTTATGTAGTAGAGATCTCACCTTCATCTCTTTTTATTGTTTTTGTTTTTCCAGATGTTGAACGTAGGCGCATATATGATATTGTGAACGTGCTGGAGAGCCTACACATGGTGAGCCGCCTTGCCAAAAACAGATACACTTGGCACGGGCGACACAATCTCCCCAAAACCCTGCAGGCTTTGAAAAAAGTTGGAGAGGAGAACAAATACACCCAACAAATCCAGATGATCAAGAAAAGAGAGCACGAGCACGAATTTGATTTTGATGGTGAAAAAAACGAAGAGATGGCAAGACCTTTTGGCTCAAGTGAGCATTCAGAAATGTCTTTTGTGGAGCTCCCAGGAATGGAATTTCGCGCTGGTAAGAATTTTCTATAATGCCAAGAATAATACGTGCTTGTAATGATAAATATCTATGAATTTGGAAAAAAACATTCATTGGACTTTTTTTTTTTTTTTTTCTGAAACACTACAGCGGAGAACCACCACAACCCTCTGTGGTGAGAAAAAGTGCTCTCTGCTCTTTCAGTTCTCTTTCATTCAATTCTTGTGCTTGTGTTTGGGTTTTACAGTGCAAGGGCAAGAGGGCATCAGGTGAAACTATCAAATATACCCATCACATGAGCCAGTTTTGCAGGATTTGTTACCATTTAATGTTAGAGAAGATGAAAGTATGAATTACTCCATTAATTTATTTTTTCATTTTGGTTTCATTCATGGAAGAATTGTTAATTAAGGATTGTTAAATACCTTGTATAACCTGCAGTTAAACATCTTTAAGAGTACGAGTTGTCAGACAAAAGGAAACACATAGAAAGGGGAACATCACATTCTCTTCTTTGTAGTTAGACTTGGTATCCACCTAATTACCTGATCCTTGCTATGTAGAAACATGATTCTGGAGTCCACGTCACTCCTGCCTGGTTGCTGTGTTGTTTGTTCTTAAAATAATCGGGAGTGAACAAATTTCTTCAGTGTTTTAAAAACGGTTGTAGCTGGCGTGTCGCTTAATACTTCAATCCTTTTCTCCTGTCTGCTGCAGCATCAGTAAATAGCAGGAAAGACAAGTCTTTACGAGTGATGAGTCAGAAATTTGTGATGCTCTTTCTTGTGTCGACTCCTCAAATAGTAAGCCTTGAAGTTGCTGCTAAAATCTTGATTGGAGAAGACCAGTTAGAAGACTTAGATAAAAGCAAGTTTAAAAGTAAGTAAAATGCTGCTGTTGCTGTCTGCTTTTTGATCTTACTCTAAATGGAAATATCAAGCGTAAGCTTAGATAGTGTAAAATACCATCATGTTTTTCCTGCCATAAATATATTTGAGCCTCCAAAAACTCACTAAACACTTGCATAGTTTTTAATAGGGACCCACTTGTGCATAGCTGATAGGTAATGACTACGTAAAAGTCCATTAAGCCCTCTCTCCTGAATGTCACAAGGCTGCTTACCGGTAAGACTTTCTCTTTCCTCCAGCAGTCTGTCAAAGATTTCAGCATCATTTCATCAAAGATGCCCTAGAAACATGCAAATCTGTGTTCTGGTCGTATAACTTACTTGTTGGAAATCTGAAGAAATTCTGTAAAAGTCCTGTTAATAACTCACACGTGAGAGGAAGCGAAACCCAGTGCTGTAACTGCCAATTATTTCTTCATTCTTTTACCCTGCTCTCAGTTCCTCCTCTTCCTCGCCGTTCAAACAAAAAGGTTCTTCTAGGTCTAGGCATTTATGTCTAGAATAATCAAAAATGCACCTGCTTTTGAGGGATTGAGAATTAATTGTGGGTTTCATTGAAAATCACACCCTTCCTTGAGTCTCAGACTCCATTGCTTTTTTTCTTGTGGAACTGGATCTATGCAATAGGAAAACTGATCCTCACTGGTTTGGGTTTGTAATTTCCTTTCCCCTCTACGTGGCCATGTAGAAAGGGTTGGTGGGTGTGTGGTCAGTAGGAGGGGTTTGTTTGCTTTGATTCTTCATCCCTCCATAGCGTCCCAAGAAATGTGTTTTCAGGGCATTCCATCCATACGGATGTACGTATTTCAGGTTTACAACATAGTTTACTGTGTTCTTGGTTAAGAAGCGTAGCCCTAAGTACCACGACTTGGAAGACTTTTTACATTTTCAGCAGCTGCCTACAACTTTTCCCTGAGAGCTCACCCTGCAAACAGTTTAGAACATGGAGGATGATTATCCTGGTGGATTTTAGTGTGTCCTGCTGCGTGCGTGTACCTGCCCCTTAAGCTACTTATTTTCGCTACAGAATTTAGAATCGTAGAATCGTATCGTATGTGTTTGATCATTGCAGAGAACCTAATTTGTTTTGAAAATGCTTTTTTTTTAATATTTAGCACAATATACTTGGCAATATTTCCTTTTCTAGCTCTCTATCTATATAATTCTATTTTACATATAAACTTTATACCGTGATACATCATTTCACAGTATAAACACCCATTCCACAAAATTGTTCTTATTAAAAAAATTACAAAGGTTTTTCCTTTTAGCTGCTAAAAGGACATTATAAAACATTTTTAATCTGATATATGTTAGCTTGTTAATCGGAATTGCTATACTTTACATTTGTTTGTTTTATTTCAGCCAAAATTAGGAGACTTTATGACATAGCAAACGTTCTTAGTAGCCTTGAGCTTATCAAGAAAGTTCACGTTACAGAGGAGAGAGGTAGAAAACCAGCATTCAAGTGGACAGGACCTGAGGTCTTGCCAACTATTCAGGGTAGGTGTATGTGTCATTTCCTTTTGTTCTGCCAATGAGTTTGATTATTTCTTTGTTTTCTCTGCTAGAATTTTTTTTGACCAAAACACAGAGGAAACTAAAAAGAAAGCCTTTACTTTGCACCTCGTTGTCCTTGCCAGTGCAGCACACCAGTGTGTGTTTCCACATGGTCGATGCACTCATACTGAAACTCTTGCATTTCCATTTTTGCTGCTGTTTATACTTCAATAATTATAATATAACTGCTTTTAATTACTGACTCTACATACGATACGCATTTACTCTCTGGATTTTTTTCTGCTTTTTAGGTACAACACTTGAAACAACTTCTGTGACTCGTCCCCCACCTACTTCAGAATTCACCCCTTCCAAAGAGCAGTGTTCAAAAAACCTTTTTCCTTTAAAAGGAAAGCAAAATTTCACTCGGCATCCCTCTCTAATAAAGTTAGTTAAAAGTATAGAAAACGACAGAAGAAAGATCCAGTCTGCTCCAACCAGTCCAGTTAAAATAAGTGCAAGTACGTCTCTTTTTCTAAGTTGTTTTTTAACTCGGGTGCGGTCTTGCATTAAATCCTCGGGCTTGCCATCTTCTCCCAGGGGATATGGATACGTGGGTAAGGCTGCTTACAACAAACAACTGTCAAAAATACACAAGATGGGGAAAAAATACACGTTGCCTCTAGATCTGAGGCCTTACAGGACTGATAGTGAAAACAAAGGCAAATGGATCACGTTCAGTGCGGCAGCTCTGTAATTAGCAGAAGCTCTTTGCAGTTTGGGGGACCAAATTCAGCACAGCATAAGGAACTCACGTCTCCTCTTTCACACCAAATACACAAGGATTACTGTTTTGGGTTTAAAAAGAATATTAAATCCCTTTTGACACATCACTACCTTAACTTTGTGTGATGTCTTACTGGCTACAAAGCCATGTTGTGTAGCGTAGCTGATTCTCTGGGTATTGTCTGTTTCTCCATGAACTTCTCTAACCCTGGTTTGTTGTGGAAACTGTGCTTTAGATCTTCCTACCTAAGCAGTTCTGATTTCCAGAAAATTGCTAGAAAATGACCTCTTGATGTTCATGTTCTTGTCAGGTGTCCTCTTCAGAGGGGAAAAAAATATGGAGCTGAGGCTTTAAAAATTTGGTTGCCATAAGCTACCATCCAATTGATCAAATCCAGTCTGAGCTGCTGTTTGAGGAGAACATGGAGTCTTAGTGTCTTCTCCTTAGATGTGGATGTCACATTAAATGCAGTCTCCTTCAGCCAAAATATAGTTTGGCTATAATTCAAGCAAAATTAGTACAGTTTGATGTACTAATAGTTTTGTTTTGTTTTCCCCCTCCAACCAGGTACTGATCAAAATTTATCAGCTTTCCCAGGTGAAACGGCTCAGGTTCCAGCAATCGCTAAACATCAGCTGGAAGGACAATCCAAGTAAGTTTGCACGATTATTAAGCAGAGAAGCTTTATTTTGTCACTGGCTGTTGAGTTAAAAGTTGGGCTCAGTTTGAGCTGGGCAACAGCCTGCAAAAAAGGGTAACCCCTGATACTGCAGGCTATTTATTTTTTCACTTCTTTTCTGTTTAGTGGATTGAGAAGTACAAATTCACATTAAGTCTTTGTATTGCAAAAAATACAAATGTCAGGGCATTCATTCCTGCACAAAGGTATTAATTTTTTGTTTTGTTTTGTGTTTGTTTGTTGTGTTGTTTTTTTGTTTTGTTTTGTTTTTTTAAAAAGGAAAGCAAAAGAGATGAAAATGAAATTGTCGAGATCTGCTTTGGACAGTAATTTGTCCTCTCCTGAGATGGTCCTCAAGCTCGAAGCTCCTTGCCCTGCAGCAGGCTCTCAGCAGCCACCGGTGCTCTGTCCTCCAAGCCACGGCTCAGTCTCACCAGTCATCCTACCTCAGACTCATTCTGGTGTTTCCTATGCCATTTATCTGCATCCTTCCCAAGCCCACACTGTGACAACATACAGCCCAAGTTTCATGTTGCAGCCTCTACCGCGTGCTAGTGTAACTGGAATTAAGAGCATTAGTTCAAAAGTAGTAAATAAAATAACCACTGAGGAAGGGGACAATCAGACAGCTACAGATGAGCCAACAAAGTCCCTGACAATTAAAGAAAGACCAACTATAAAGTCAGAAACTCCATCACAGCGGTGCCTTAAAAGATCACAAGCATTACAAGAGAATAATTTACCTAAAAGGTATAGAAGTGACAAGGAAAACCTTGATCCTTCGCTGGTAAGTTCAGTTATTTTTAAAATGCCATTTTATAGCTTAATGATGTTGCCACCTACTCATTTTCAAAGTGACTTTGGAGCCTACCAGTGTGCGTAGGCGTTTTAAATAACATCATGCTTGAAGGGATGACACTGACTTGTGCTTGCTGATGTTTGGGGGGGGGAATCAATATAACACCTATCGTCAAAAGGCCAACCGAGGGTCAGAATGGATTTTTCTCCTTGTTCCCTTTCCCCCTCCACTCCAAGTATTTATTTCCAAGAGGAAGCATCAAAGTGTACAGATGTTAGTCAAAATAAACAACTCCCAAAATAATTATGTCAAGACTTCCCTATTTATACATTGATTCTGGAGTAGTTCAGGTTGCCCATCTTGGTGGCATTCATCCTTGGCTTTAGAGGTGTTAAGAGGGAAGGTGGACATGTAAAAGTCACTGGAGAGGGAATGTCCCAAAATCCTGATACCTCCTCAATACTTCTATCCACTGCTAATGTTGGATTGTTGTAGGCATAATAATGTAGGCATAAGAATCACAGAATCATGAAAGGAATAAGAGGCTTGGATACACTTGATGCACGTGGAGAAACCGGGTCTGGATTTCTTTCCACTCCTCGGTTCCTAAATATTTTAGCGTTGCTGTAGATTATTAGGTTGCTTTAAATTGTTCTTGTCAAAATAGTCATGAAATGTTTCCAGCGTGTTGTGACACGTGGTGGCCAACATCCACTACCTGTGAAGGAGGAAGAGGGGATAACATGGATCTGGTTGTCTTACTGACTAGAAATTTTTATAGCACAAACTTGGGGCAATCAGGAGAAAGGAGAAAGCTTGCTTTCCTATTTTTTAAAATGTATAAATATCATTGTAGACCTGTAATTGGGAATGTTAGACTTACAGTGTCTGCTTTTTGTTTCTATGTCCTTTTTTTTTTAAAGGGAGATTCCATTAAAACTGAAAGACCACCTTCCAGTAGCTCACAAACGAATCACGAAACGGACCATTTCCAGGAAGAGAGACAGAACAAACCCGAAACGTTAGATCAAAATGTGGCGAGTTGCCATGACCAGTGTAAAAGAGAAGATATTCCAGAAGAAGAGAGCAAAATCAAAATGAAACAAGACATACCTGTAGCATTTGCCATTCCTGCTCACGAGGTAAGCTTTGTCAGACACCGTGGTGCAGCTTGCCATTCCCTGGGAAAACACCTCCTGCAGGCATCGCAAAGGGAACAAAACCATTAACGAACTACACGAATATAGATCACCTTGGGTTGGATTAATTTTAGTGTGCTCTTAAAACCTTATTTTGTAGGAATGTAGGACTTCTATTTCTGCATTAAGCACACGAGTAAGAGGACATGAAGTGACTTTCAGGCTTCGATTGGGATGAAGATCACAACTGAGACTAAGTAGATGAAGGCAACGTTGAGATCCCTGACATCCCCAGTCCTTTGTTGTTGTATATTTAGTTTCAAATACTTTGATTTACAACAGAATCACAGTAAACTCTCCTGATCAGTAAAATTTGGTATTCTGCAGTTAAGACTTCCTACTGTAGAGACCTGAATAAAGAACAGACCTGTTGCCTAAAACAGAACTTGTAAACGCAAAAGGATTGTCTTCCGATATTTGCCTGATGAAAAACATGACCCAAGAATGAAGTGAATTGATGATCACGGGGTCCAGATGTTTCTTCTGGAAAAAAACCCAAAAGTATTCAGTATCAGGATTTCTATTTTGTCTAGGGTAATTGGACTGTGTTAATCCCAGATGAATCTCCAGTTCCTCGCTGAGGATATCAGCTGGAAATGGAGCTTCAGACACAACGGACTCAAGGATACACTTTTTAATTTCAGACAGAAGGTAGTACAGGCATGGAATACAGGATCCTGGGGATATGGGGGATTACGAATAAGCACAAGGCAAGGGGAATACAACTTTGGAGAAAACTGGGGTTTTTTTAACGAGTTTGGGATAAAGGTGTATTGTCTTTTCTTTTTCAGACTTTTTTTCCATCTGGCTATCTTATTCCTCTTGCTCAGTGCACCCATGGCAACAAGGCAGGCTTTTCTGATGAAGAGAAAGCTGGGATATGTTCATTACAGCACACTACCTACAGCTCACCCATTGCTGGTTAGTATTAAATCACAGAATGGTTTGGGTTGGAAGGGACCTTAAAAATCATAGAGTTCCAACCCCCCTGCCCTGGGCAGGGACACCTCCCACCAGACCAGGTTGCTCCAAGCCCCATCCAGCCTGGCCTTGAACCCCTCCAGGGATGGGGCAGCCACAGCTTCTCTGGGCAACCTGTTCCAGTGCCTCACCACCCTCACAGTGAAAAATTTCTTCCTGGTACCCAATCTAAATCTGCCCTCTTCCAGTTTGAGGCCATCATCTCTTGTCCTACCACTACATGCCCTTGTAAAAAGTCCTTCTCCAGCTTTCTTGTGGGCCTCCTTCAGATACTGGAAGGGGCTCTAAGGTCTTCTCTTTTCCAGAAGAGAACAACCCCAGCTCTCTCAGCCTGTCCTCATAGTCTGGCTTAAACAATTGCGGGCCATGTTCATCCTACTGAGGCAATGGCTTGAGTCTCAATTTTTAATGTCCCTCAACATTTGATTTTTCTGTTTCAGGTGTCATTCCAATGACAGCATCCGAACTGAAAGCAGTGAACATTCCTGCTTTTCATATAACACCCTTGAATATAATGCTGTCACCAACCTCTATAGCTGCTGCACCTGTACTGAGCACCTCCAGTCTCAATTCAAGCAGCACCACTTCTGCCCCAAATCCAAGTTCTTCAGTTCTGAACTTTACACTGCAACACGTAGGGCTAATACCTGCCGGTGTCCAAGTTCCTGCAAATCCTGTTCTTCAGCATGTGCCAATCTCTTCACAACCAGAAAACAGTAGCCATAGCTCAGAAAATGTGAACTTGCAAGAGAAGGTGTGTAAAAATACATTGCAACTTCTTGACCGCGGTGGGCTGACTGGGTAGTGTAGTGCAGTTATTCCTCTACAGCAGGTAACATTTTTAAATAAACTTTTTTTTTTTTTTTAACTTTATAAATCAACACTGCCCTAAAAGAGCTGGCAGTGAAGGCCAGCTTAAGTGCAATATAATTGAGAGGTTAGAAAGGAAGAACAAGTGTCTTATTCGTTGTGGAAGTGGAGCCAGCTGGAAGACAACAATATGTGAAGAAACAACTCTTGTAGAGGGAAGATTTTCCATAGATTATTAACAAATTATCCATTTGTTACTTTGTCTTTCCCTTTTGTTACTTTCCTAACCTACTTTCACGTTCTTGCATTTTATGTGTGCTTTTTTAATTAGGAAGGGACTGTAGAGGAAGTTTGTCTGTATTTGTTGTGTAATACTGTTTGTATTTATAAAAAAAAGTGATAGGAGGGGGTTAGAGAAACCAGATTTTAATTTAATTGATTTTAGATATATATTTGTAGATATATCAAGGAATACAGGTATATCATTCTCAGTAAAGAGTTATTAAGTTTTTAAATTTCAGAAAAAAAAAAGTTTGCTAACATTCTGTAGAAACCTAAAACTAGAATTCACTCTTTTATTCTTTTTTCCCTTAAATGAAAATAATTTTCTCTCTTCTCTTTAGCCTTGTGTTCCAAAGGAGCCCCAGCTGCCCCAGACAGCTACAGAGAACTTCTTCCGCACCCCAGGAGGGCCAAACACAGTCCCTTCGCTATCTGCAAATTCAGATGGTACCAACAGAATCTCTCCAGGAACTATGTATATTCCTCAACGAAAACTTGAAGTGTCAGAAGACTAATTTTGGGATATCAAATTGGTGAAATGTGTTAGCAGCCATAATTACTGGTAACACACCGCGCACATCTTGGCTTATACGGTGGACAATGTGTGGTTTAGACCTCGATACTGGAATAGCCTTAATTAATGCTTTAGAATCAAAACCGGCTCGTAATGAGAAAGTCAATGTCAAATAATTTTTCCAAAAGGCTTACCTGAAGTATTACAGCAACAAAGTTATGTATCTAGTGGTTTTTGTGTTGCTTTTCTGCTATGCAAAGTAAGGTGAAATTGTCTTTGTATAGAAAGGTACAGTCTATCAGTCAGTACAAATTTTGCACAAAGAAAAGTACTGTGAGTGTGTACATATTTTACGTCTTAACAAAAAGCCCATAGTTAAATATGTGTTCAATAATGCTCTTTTGTAAAGTTAGTAAAAAAAACAACAAACAAAACCAAAAAATGAATTCTTGATCAAATTTTATATAAGTTAAGAATTATTTATACTGTATTTTTAAATCCATTTGTTCAGATTAAACTTAAAACAAACTCAAATTTTGACTGTTTTAATTTGATCAGAGGAAAAAAAAATTACCTGAGCTAAGTAATACAATGTATGTTCGCTGGCATCTCTTCGTTCTTTTCTTATCAGTCAGGGGTGTCTCTGTCTTCTGAAGAAATGGAAAATGGTATTTCATAGAAAGGGAATTAAGTAACTCAGTCTGATTTCTGCACTCTATCACTAGAGATAACATCTCTGAATAATATCAATTAGAGGAAAATGCATTTAGGGGGTTTGGAATTCAGAGTATCTTTATCACCCTGGAGCATTCACAGAATGACATGGGGTTGGAAGGGACCTCTGGAGATCATCCAGTCCAACCCCCTGCCAAAGAAGGTCCACCCAGAGCAGGTTGCACAGGAACGTGTCCAGGCAGGTTTGGAATGTCTCCAGAGAAGGAGACTCCACCACCTCCCTGGGCAGCCTCTTCCAGGGCTCTGCCACCTTCAAAGGAAAGAAGTTCCTCCTCAGGTTTAGGTGGAACTTCTTAGATTCAAGTTTGTGTCCATTTCCTCTTGTCCTGTCCCTGGGCACCACTGAAAAAAGACCCATCCTCTTGACACCCTCCCTTGAAGTATTTATAAGCATTGATCAGATCCCCCCTCAGCCTTCTCTTCTCCAGACTAAAAAGCCCCAAGTCCCTCAGCCTCTCCTCATAAGGGAGATGCTCCAGGCCCCTCATCATCTTTGTAGCCCTCTGCTGTGCCCTCTCCAGCAGTTCCCTGTCCTTCTGGAACTGGGGAGCCCAGAACTGGACCCAGTGCTCCAGATGGGGCCTCCCCAGGGCAGAGCAGAGGGGCATGATGACCTCTCTCAACCTGCTGGTCACCATCTTCCTGATGCCCCCCAGGATGCCCTTGGCCTTCTTGCCCACAAGGGCCCATTGCTGGCTCATGGCCATCCTATTGTCCAGCAGGACTCCTAGGTCTTTCTCCTCAGAGCTGCTCTCCAGCAGGTCACCCCCAACCTGTCCTGGTGCAGGGGGTTATTTCTCCCCAGGTGCAGCACCCTGCACTTGCCTTTGTTGAAGTTCATCAGGTTCCTCTCTGCCCAGCTCTCCAGCCTGTATGGCAGCACAGCCCTCCAGCGTGTCAAACACCCCTCCCAATTCTGGAAAGCACAGTCCAGATGTCACAGAACTGAGAAGTTACAAGGTTTGGACCTCAAACAAAACACTCTTAGAAAGATTTGAAGATGCACACTCATTATCTCACCTCTCTTATTCTATCAAACTCAGCATTTAAGCCCAGCCCACACTATGCTAGACACACTCTATAGGGTCTCTTGACTCTGGAGAAGCTTCAAGCCTAAGAGAAAGTTCTCATCACATTTGAGCTAAGGTTTTGTAACCATCTGAAATGGTTTGTGGCACAAATGGCTGGTGCAGTTCCTGAAGCACCAAACATTCCCTGCTGCAAACAGCATCAGAACTGGCTTCCAGCAAACCTGGACGTGCCCTCACCGTCCAGAGGCCACCTGGTCCTTTTCTCTTTCTAGCTAAGGTCAGCATCATCTCCCAACCGCTGTTCTTCCTCTACTGCGATTTTCTATCAGACAGGTTAAAAGTTAAACCAACTGAATTTAAATACCTGCAGCAGAGTCTCTTTTACGCTGAAGGAAGAAAGACGAAGTCTTCTCACACAGCTCACGCTCATCTTGGATGACAAGGAATAACTAACAAATTAAAGGAAAATGCAGGGGATCTGCCTTCCCAGGGAAAAGACACCTGTGCAAATTAGGACAGGAGAAATGCCAGCACAGCCCAAGAGTCATGCTCGGACTGGGTAAAAAAAACCACCAGGTAAAACAGTTAACACAGTAAAACTAAGTGCGTTGCAAAATCGTAATACAAAATACACCTGACAGAATGGGATCACTATTGAAATACTCCTACATGAGGGAGAGAGAAGAATAAAAGCCGTAAAATGGAGGTATTCTCCACAGCAGTGAGTTGGGTTGGTTTTTTCTTCTCCAAAGTGGCAATTGATTGACCTTCCTTACACCTGCTATCAATTTAATTCTAGACATATAAAGGCAAGGACTTACAGAAACTTGCATTATTCAAAGGAAACAAACTACAAATCTTTCATTTTTGGACACTGCGATTGAGAGAGCAAGAAAGCGCAGTCACTAAGCTTGGAGAAATGGCCTTCTCACAACCTGCTCTGTGCCAAAAGTCCAACACATGCTCAGACTTGCTGCCTGCTGTCCCTGGACTCCTGTCAAAAGGTGGCCGCTCGCTTTTTCACACAGGCTTTAGAAGAGCGAGCTCTTTACTTTGTTCTCCTTCATTTTGCAGGCTCAAAACCTACTGCTTTTACGCTCCAAGTACCCTGTTCCCCAGAAGATTTGCTTTTGGCTCTGACGGGCTGAGCTGCCGGCTCTTCCCCCCGACCTTCCCCACCTGAACATGACCCGAGTACCTGATGTTCTCCCTTGCCAAGCTCCAGGAAAGTCCCCCTGATCCTCAGGCTCGATTCGCTTTTGATACGCTGCGTTCCCCTTATCCGAGCAGTGGTGGTTTAATCCCTGCCTTTGATTTACAAAAAATACTACATTCACACTCCACCAGGAATGAAATCCAGGCTAATTCTATGCACTCCAATTGCACAGAACCACAGAATCACATGGGGTTGGAAGGGACCTCTGGAGATCATCTAGTCCAACCCCCTGCCAAAGCAGGGCCACCCACAGCAGGTCCCACAGGAACATGTCAAGGTGGGTTTGAATGTCTCCAGAGAAGGAGACCCCAACACGTCCCTGGGCAGCCTCTTCAGGGCTCTGCCACTCTCACAGTAAAGAAGTGCCTACTCATGTTTAGGTGGAACTTCCTATATTCAAGTTTGTGCCCATTTCCTCTTGTCCTCGCCCTGGGCACCACTGAAAAAAGACCAGCCCCATCCTCTTGACACCCACCCTTGAAGTATTTATAAGCATTGATCAGATCCCCCCTCAGCCTTCTCTTCTCTAGATTAAAAAGACCCAAGTCCCTCAGCCTCTCCTCGTAAGGGAGATGCTCCAGGCCCCTCATCATCTTTGTAGCCCTCTGCTGTGCCCTCTCCAGCAGTTCCCTGTCCTTCTGGAACTGGGGAGCCCAGAACTGGACCCAGTGCTCCAGATGGGGCCTCCCCAGGGGAGAGCAGTGAGGCAGGATGACCTCTCTCAACCTGCTGGCCACACTCTTCCTGGTGCACCCCAGGATGCCATTGGCCTTCTTGGCCACAAGGGCACAAGTCTCTTCTTCCAATCTCAGGTCCTGATAGCCACAATTTTAGCCACAGGGATTATATGAAATGCCAACTAACCCAATATGGGTCCAACTGTTCCATTGAGCTGTAAAGAGCCTCTCAATAAGACTGTTACCCAGTATCTGGGGAAGCACAGAAGGACAGGAATGAAACAACACTCAATACCAGGAAAATAAAGGTTGTTCCCTGCCTTTTGCCCTTAAATAATCTGACAAACTCAAAGGGAAAATACTTTTTGCCATCTGGGGGCAAAAATCTTTCTCCACAGATTTCCCTGCTGTTGGTTATGGTACAAATCCATCCAAATTAATGATCTAAGACTCATAGAGTGGTTTGGGTTGGAAGGGACCTTAAAGATCATCGAGTTCCAACCCCCTGCCATAGGCAGGGACACCTCCCACCAGACCAGGTTGCTCAAAGCCTCATCCAGCCTGGCCTTGAACCCCTCCAGCAATGGGGCAGCCACAGCTTCTCTGGGCAACCTGTTCCAGTGTCTCACCTCAGAGTGAAAAGTTTCTTTCTGGTATCTAATCTAAATCTCCCCTCTTCCAGTTTGAAGCTATTACCCCTCATCCTATCACTACATCATGCCCTTGTAAAAAGTCCCTCCCCATCTCTCCTGTAGACCCCCTTCAGACACTGGAAGGCCGTTATAAGGTCTCCCTGGAGCCTTCTCTTCTCCAGGCTGAACAACCCCAACTCTCTCAGCCTGTCCTCATAGAAGGTGGCGATGCGAGTGAGGATCAGTGAAGATTCAGTTCCATCAAAGGTCCTATCTTACCAATCACCCAGGGTGCAAACACAGTGGTTACAACCTTCTCATTGCTTTCCCTGCATTCCAACAGTGAGCTCAGTCCTGCCTCAACCTCTCCTCACTGCCATCTTACAAGAAATGTTCATACCACGTACACTCTACTGTCAACTCTGCATCCAGCCTTATTTGACATTGGCAGAAGAGTTCCATAACTATCCAAGGAGAGTGACCAAGAAGAGATGGAGTCCAGCTCTCCTGCTCAGGGAAAAATAGTCCTCCAACTTTACATCAAGGCTCTGTCTCTGCATTATAAAATCTGTGTTGGTCTCAACAGTTAATGGATCTATAGGCTCCTAGGAATTTTCAAAGTAGCCTCAGCAAACAGACCCCGAAAATCCTGTAGTCTGACATGGATTTGATATCTAATTTCTGTATGCTCCCAGAAAAGTCCCAGAGTTGAGACTCTCGGCTGCGGACTCCTGGTGTTGAACCCCAAGACTGTATGGGCTTGGCCCTTTCACACACAGCAAAGTCCAGGACACTAAGCAAAGCTTCTGCATTCAGACATCCCCTTAGAAAATGAGAATCAGCTTCTAAATCTTTAAAGCACTTAAAATAAAACCTTGTAAAAAGTGAACTTTAAGTGTTTCGTATTTTAGTCTCCGCTTCTTTAACACGTCTGCAGCATCACCCATATCCAAAGGGCACAGCGAGGCATGGCAAATATCACTGCAATAATTACATATGCTAAACATTATGCATATTAACTAGCCATCTTAATGCCCAAAGCCAGCGAAAATGTAAAGTTCAGAGTGAAAAGCCTAATTCTCTGTACCCTAGAAGACAAACCAGTTGTGTCTATCAGATCACGAACTGCTGAATGAAATTCTATTTGGTTTGACACTTTTGAGTTCCAGAAGTTCCTACAAAGAGGTGTTTGAGGGTTTTATTTAATAAATATTTTGGCAAATTATTTTATGAGTAAATCCTCATTTCGGAAACCATTACTTTATGATTCACATTTAAGCAATGTGGAAGCCACTATACAACCTTAATCTTTATTTCTGACCCATTAGGCTGGGGTTCGGAATGCCCTCTGGGTGTAACCCGAGGGGCTGCATTGTTGTCCACCTACTCACAAGTGGACATAAGGGGACAAAATGCCAGGCTTTTGTCAGAGGCTATTTTCAGCGCGATGATAGCAATGGCATTGCTCAGATCTCTCACTCCCCTCCCCTCCCAGCTTTTATAGGGCCGACAGCAGCGGCCACTGCACTTAAAGAGTGCCACAAACCCCCACGTTCAAACCCTCCGAGCCCTAAGAAAATAGGGAGAAGCATCGAGTGACTCCGGTAAGTAGAATATATCGGGTTTTGCCAAGACTGTCTGATATAAGGGTATTATTATTTTTTTTTTTCCAAACAGGTAGTAGGGAACAGCTTATTGCCTGACAAAGAAAAAGGAGTAGGTATAGTACAGAAACGCGAATCCCACCGAGCTGATGGCAGTATTTTAGGTTTGGAGCAGACAACTGATAAGAGAGATTCCTCTGGGCTTCTCAGCTTGTGTAGTAGCTGCTGGTGTTACAGGAACGGGCTGCAGAAATCCTCGTTAATGAGACACACATTTTGAGTACATGCAAGACTGGGGGTAACAGAAGTTCCAGAAGCTTTAAAAAAATGTTACTAGAAAGCTACAGAACTGGGTTTTCCGCAAACAGTTTGTCTTTGCACATACTCTTTTTAAAGCATAGAAATTTACCCGCTATCATAATTTCTCAGATAAAAGTATTCTAGAAGTAAAAAAACAAACAAGCAAACCAAAAAAAAAAAAACCCACCCACAAAACCTCAAAAATATTTGATGTCAGTGACCAATTGGTTTTATATCAAATGAGAAGAAAACTTCTATGCAGACTTGGCAGAAAATGGCTAGATAAGAATGCAGGCTGAAAAAATTCATACGTAGCATTAAAAGACAGCACGATTGGCCAAGCCTTCAGAAAAGCTCCAAAAAAAGCTTTTATTTACTTAGAAAAGTTTTCTACCTAAAGATAAATTTTTTTTTTCAAAGAATCAATCCTTGCACGCGGATAAAATAATTCTGTGCCTGATCTCAGTCATCACATTTCCCAATCGGTTACAGTTTGGCTTGGCACTTAAGAGCCTTTAGCGTGCGGATAAGGATTTAGAGAAGGATCTCGTGGGAGGAAAAGGGAAAGCTGATAGCCCAGGATTAGCTCTGGAAAAAGGGACGGGTCATTTGTGCAGCAGGATGCAGCGTGAATCAAACTGAACTCTGTGCATGTATGTGCAGGGCTGGGTTGTTGTTGTTGTTTTTTAAGTCTTTTATTCTAGTCCCAGGGTATCTTATTTTTTGGAGTCGCAATTTTCAATTTCTGCAAAAGTGTGGATCAAGGAAGTTTAAAAAAAAAAAATGCAGCATTACTACGCTTGAAAATAATAGATAATTGGGAAGGACACAGAGAAAGCAAAGGGCTGTGGCACAAGAGTCTGGGGTTTTCTATCAGCTTTGCACATCATGTTCTTCATATCAAGTCACTTAAAATCTTTTGTTTCAAAAGGGCTCGTGTAACTTAGAGTGACCAGTGTCAATGAAAAATCAGTATTTACTTTCCCGTGTCAGTGTGGAAATTCCCATCCCTCAATCTCCACGTGTTGGTTTACTGCAGAAATAAAAGAAAAGTGCTGGGCATCATGAGATCATGGTGGAGGCTAAATGTGTGACAATAACTAATAAACTTAACATTTACCTGTGTCCATAGTCCATCGAATGCATCGGAATGTAAGAAATACGACTATAAGTACGTAACAATATATATCTTTCATTAGCTGATCTCACCCTTCAAACACAAACGTTTTCTCTGTTGTGAATCTGTTCTGCTGAGGGATGGCGCTTCCTGCAGTGGGGTTGGATTTGGACAAAACCACCTTCAGGCTTTCTGAGATGGCGTGGCAGGAGCTGCGCTTTTCACTGCGGAGACATCAAGATAAACCATAAGGTAGTGAGTGTTAGTTGTGGAGAAAGAGAGAAACCACAGCAGCACTTCACGGCTGCTCTTAGAAAGGAAGCGATACACCGTTATCCCCAGGGCGCTGGCCAGACGGGCAACGCTAAGGACGGTGGCATGAGTCACTGGTGGTCACAGGACAGGTCACCAAGGGAGCTGTGATTAGATACCGGAATGAGGTCGCGGCTGCATCGGCATTTCCCACAGCCTTCAGCTGGGAAAAGAATTTTGCATGAAGCCTTGATGCTTCCATTTCAGTCTAGGCAGTGATTTAATTTTATGCTGTTTATTTATGAGGGTAGGAATCAGTCGTCTTATACTTTTAACTAAGTCTAGACTGAACAGCTACTGGTGGGACTAAAACATCCTACCTGTCCGTCCTGGTTCAGCGTTCCCGGCAGTGCTCACCAAGACTGACATTTCCCATTCTCTTTATCCCCCTCAAAGCCATCCCGTGGCACACGTGGCACCCTCAGACAACCCTCCCAGCCACACCACACGTGGCTTCAGGGTCCGTCCGTCCAGCGTTGAGTTGGGCTCTAGACTATCAAATGCATCAGCATGTCAAAGGGAAAAAACTTGTATTTATAGCCAGGAAACACCAGAATTACTTTCAGCATCTTTTCCACCTGCCCCGTGCTGCCTTTTACTCCTCTACACAACTTCACAGGGCCAGAACTGCATCCACTTCCCATTTAGATCAACGGGTCTAAATATAGTTGTGGATTATACTCTTATCAATAGCCCTCTGACCAGAGTGAGACACTCTGTGACATCCAGATTTGTACCGTATGACTAATAGCTCAACAGAAGACGGCTCATTTTTTTTTTCATGCTTGTGCAGAGCAGAGAAACACTTCAAAGGCTTCCTTGCTGGGAGGCAAGCCTATGGAGCAGAGTTACACACTCTAAGTAATGAGAAGCATGTATCCTTGGCGGCACATCTATGTGCTGGTATGAATTCAACTCCCTAAAGTAGCTTCGTTTTGAAAAGGAACGATACGAGCTGCTGGAGACTATTCGAGCAAGACCAAGAACACTCTGCCAGCTTAACAGTACCCTGAGTGCCCGCCAACATGCCACCATATTCATACTCAGAAATTTCTCCGTCACCTGTTTAATACATTTAGAGTGGGCCCACTCTACTGCCCATGAGATCACCAAAATATAACAAGCACCACGTGGTCAGTGGTCACTGCACGTTAACCAGATTTAGACAACAAAGCTCAGGGAATTGCAAGGGGATTTAGAGGGCCATGAAGATGCTCAGAGGGATGGAGCACCTCTGCTGTGAAGACAGGCTGAGAGAGCTGGGGTTGTTCAGCCTGGAGAAGAGAAGGCTCCAGGGAGACCTTAGAGCAGCCTTCCAATATCTGAAGGGAGCTACAGGAGAGCTGGGGAGGGACTCTTTGTGACAGTGGAGTAACAGGACAAGGAGTAATGGTTTTAAATTGGAAGAGGGGAGATTTAGATTAGATACCAGAAATAAATTCTTTGCTGTGAGGGTGGTGAGACACTGGAAGAGGTTGCCCAGAGAAGCTGTGGCTGCCCCATCCCTGGAGGGGTTCAAGGCCAGGCTGGATGGGGCTTTGAGCAACCTGGTCTGGTGGGAGGTGTCCCTGCCCATGGCAGGGGGGTTGGAACTTGATCTTTAAGGTCCCTTCCAACTCTAACCATTCTATGATTCTAAATTCTGACACCCAATGAAATTAAGTGAAATTAAGTCTTTGGGTATGATTTTTTTCTATGACAAATAGGAGACTGGGCTCCATTGGCACATTGTAAGGATGGAGATTTATCCATTGTTATAATTTAGGCGAGTAGAAAAGTAGGAATGCCATACAGCCAGTGGGATTTACTTGCTCAGGGAACCACTGCTGCACAGGCTCCATCCCCAGGGGTGGCCGCTGCCGTTCAGAGAAGGGAACAAAGCAAGGACCCCAAGAGCATGGACTTGCCCTGGTGCCTCACCCACCTGCCAGGCCAGCCAGCGCAGACACCACGGCTTACACTGCCATTCCCACACCCGTTTTTACCATGACTTCTTTCTCCTACAGCTTCCCATCAGGTGATACCAAAAAAACATGGAAAATGTGTGTGCATGCCCAGTCATGTTACTATACTTAGCATCAGGAGCAATGGTTCTTTTAAGAGCTCTAACCACAGCCCGTAACAGCATAATGTTCACTATCAACCTTTATCAGACTTTTTCAGAGATTATTTTTTGCTTTCAGCACATGAGGTAGTTAGAGCTACTTTCCAACAAGTATCCCGTTGTTGCAGCCTGAAATGCCTGGTGTGCCTTTGAGGGGGAACCAAAGCAGCAGAAGCAGCTTTAGAGAGATTGGAGGTGCAAACTGGTCTCCTCCAGTCCTGCTCCAGCTGGGAAGGGATCTGACTGGAAACTTGACTTGAAAGGGAAGATAGTGAACACAAAAAAATCTCATTTTAATTTTCAAGAAAGTGTCACAAAACTGATTTTTATCTCCCATCGCTCTTCCTTCTGTTGTTTGAAGCATTAATTAAAATATTTTTATAAGAGAAAAAAAGTGGCACCGATACAAAAGTACTTTAAGAATAGGAGAAAATACAGAATGGTGGAATGAGATGAGATTTTACCTACATGAAAGATTTCTCTTTGTCCTTTTATCTCCCATTTAAAGGAAATGGGGAAAAAAAAATAAACAGTGCTATCCAGTAAAGTCCTCACTGAGTAAGAAGGGACCAAATTCACAGTCTGCTCCTTGCGTGCAGTTATTTTTGTTTCTTGTGTCAGCTACTTCAGATTTGTGCTTCTTACTTGTTACATTACAGATGAAGAGAGCTAGAGGGAAGCTGAGTTTTCTTCTCCATCTTGCATCATTACTGTTTTCTGACTGTCAGAGCAGGTCATCAGCTGGTGAATGGCCTCCCCAGTGAATTGATAGGGTCTGAAGGAGATTAAGGATGCTGTGTCTGTATGACAGCAGGGGACGAGGCTGGTTGAGCTGGGGAGGTTGTTCAGCTGAGTGTAAATCAGCCTCCAGAAGAGGAGGAGAGATGGGATCTTGCATGACAGGTATGCTGTCTACTGCAGGTAACAGTCACAACAGTGAATATGTAATTAAACAGGGTTAAGGATATATTAATAAGCACAGTACTGAAGCGGAGATGTTTTGATACGCCGGTATCTGCACTGTCATCAAACAACAGCTGCTAAAACGTGCTACATCTTCAGTGCTATTGCTCCAGCGTGTGCATGCACTCCTGTGCTAGCTTTCTTTTGCTGCCACCCCATGTCTTTTATACCACCCCAGGGTGTTCAGAGTTAGTAGCCAGAAAGAATTCCCTGCAGCTTCAGGCTAAGCTTGCGGTGCTGGCACATAGAAATTGTTCGTTGCATTCCAAAAGTCAGAAGATACAGTACAGAAGTCACTAAACGGTGAAAAACACAGGACATTAGTGTCCGATCTACAAACATAATAAAATATTAGTCTAAAATACCAGCAATTTAAAATACCAGCTATGCTACATCACTGCTGTGATGAACTCCCCTCTCTCACTTGACTTCAGAAGAACATTCTCAGGTAGCAGGGCTGATTCAGCCTTCAAAATCCTTTTCTTAGTTACAAGTGTCTCATGGTGAATTTAATCAAATACAAATAGCACAAGCAGGCTTCGAAAGAACTATAATAAGAAGGTGACTGGTTTTCCAAGAAGGAGAAGGAAGGTCTGCGCCAGGAGCTCGGAACAACCCGATAATACGACGGGCAGATGACAAGATGACGTCCCAGTCTTTCCAGAAACGATGACTCAAACAAGAAAACAAAAGGGCAAACCATAGGTTGGAGTTGTTTCAGATGTGTGACAGCACAATCAGAAGGAGGGCACTTACTGAGCTGGTCAAAGCTGGGCTCCTGGCTCCGACACTGCCCTCCGGCACGACCTTGGGCAAGTCACTTCAACAGTAACTAGAATAATAACAACTACTATTTTTTTTTTCTTTAAAAAACAAGTTTTTAGATTTTTAAAACAACTCACAAAGAAAAACACATCTTAAGCCCCTGTCTTAAGAACCTATCTGTTAATTAAAGTAGATCTAGCAGCTGCTTCGTGAGGAATTCAGAAAAGGAACAGAAAACTTATTTCTATTACAGCATTCTGTGAAAAAAAATCATACATTTGTTAAACTTCGAGGTGGAACTACACAAGTGTGAATTGGATCGAATTATTTCATACTGACACAGAAAATTGCCTTGATACATCTTACCAAGGAAGCTCACGTGGCACTGGATGAATGAGTACTTGCTTTGGAGAGGTATAAATAGAACTATATGCTGTCTCTTAACAAAGAGTTTAGGCAGAATACTGTTCTGTAGAAAATTTAATGCCAAATATTGTCCACACTCCAGCTTAAACTCCAGTAAAGCTTCAAAGTGCTTATTAGCCTCCATTAAAATTTACCTTGCAAAACCAGACCAACATACATAAGGCAAAAACCGAGGGGAAAAGGCTACGCTGGGATACAGGGGAGGGAATGATTGGAAAAAAAACGACTATTTGCTGGAAAAGAAAGCCTAGATCCACTTCTCCAGAAGAGGTCTGAGTGATGCTGGCACCTTCTTACTGAAACGCTTTACAATCGTTGCACGTATTTACCATCACAACATACTGAGCTAAGAAGCATCCTTAGTTAAAAAAGAGGGTGGCAGAGGATTTAGACTCTGGATTTAGACAGGTCCCTGTCCCCCAAAGCATGGAGTTAGCACCTTCGCCCATGGACAGGACACATTCCTTCTGCTGCCCAGGTATGTAGTTGGCTACCAACCTGCCTCAAAACCCCGTTACACCAGCCACAGCTCCCACCAGCAAGGAAGGTCTTCCCAGGTCTCCCCTCCTCAGTAGGGCTGTAGAAGTTGGGTAGAATCCAGCTGCCATCTCATCTCCCTGCTACCAGATAATCTACAAGTACCACGGTGTAATTCACACCAGCAGATATTGGCTGGGGGCCACCCTGCAATAGCAGTTGACTGGAGATGGGGGAGAAAAAAAATAAAAATAAAAATAAAAATAAAAAAAATCAAACCGTTCTGTTTAAAACCATTCACTCTTGCTGTTGCATTTATTTATGTAATTTGCTTTTTCTAGGCCACCCTTCAGAAATAAGGATGCCGAACTGGGGAGGTGGAGCCAAATGTGGTGCTTGTGAAAAGACCGTGTACCACGCTGAGGAAATCCAGTGCAATGGAAGGAGTTTTCACAAGACGTGCTTCCTCTGCAGTAAGCTGGGCTATGCTATTTTAACTACATGATATTCCTGTAACTCTGTATAAATCTCCCATTAAAGCCAGCAAATCGACTTTTGCATTACTTTGCATGCACTACAGAAGCTCCATAGTTTCCCCAGTTTAACATGCTTGCTCACAGGACACTGACAGCAGGCTTCTAAATAGCAACAGGACAGTAGAAGCAACCAGAATCAAACTGAATCTCACAGGGGGAAAGTTTTGTAAAGCTTATGCATCTCCCTCCTGGGCAAGTTCAAAGCAGAGGGCAGTCCTGTGTTCATCACCCTACATACAGCAAAGCACAGCAAGGCCAATTCTGCTCTGGCACCCTCTAGACACCTCCAGATGAAACCCGTTTCCCAGCCTTTTAGAAACTGAGAGATGGAAAACGATCGAATCCATTTTCAGGAGCATCAAAGAGTTTTTTGAAATGCCAGCTTGCCACTCCATCACGGTTCTTAATTATCAAGCCGAGTTTTCTAGCCCTTTACCCCAAGGAACCCGATTATCAGGCTCCTGGTTTCCCTTTTCCCAAACAGGCATTGGATGATTATAGTTAGGGACACGAGAGTCCTGCAGAATCGCAGTATCTAGGTCCATCTCTAAGAAACCTTACCCTCTGTCCCATAACATACCATATTACAGGTTTCTTTCAAGATAAAAAAATCCAGAAGAACTAAACAAACAGCACTCAGAAATGGGTCTTATTAGGATATTATGGGAGATTAGTACTGTTATGATGAATCCTAACATTAATTCAGGAAAGCTGAAAGACATTACCCTGGTGTCATCAAAGTCTCCCACCGACACCTACAAGTGCCTCAGTCTCCTCCTTCTCCACACTTCATAGAGCCTCATTTCACTTACTCTTTTCCTCCACACACCTCTGTAATATTTGGCAGATAACTTTGGGGAATTTCGCTTTCTCTGCGGGTGAGGCAGCACTTGAAATATCAGAGAGAAGGTATCAATTCAGCTTTGTCTGCCCTTTGTGGAGCGAGCAAATGATTTGGTAAGGACTAATAGTTTATTTTGCAAACAAGGCTTGAGATTTAGTACCTTTGCATGAAGGTGAATCCCAGCATGACAGCCCAGAAGCCATTGAATCCAATTTGTCACCCTCCTTTCCTGGATGGATAGAGAATTCTCGTTTGGAGGCAGGAGACTGATGTTACATGCTCACATGACACAGTACAGCACTGTGCAGCATCAGTCCACAGGACACGCTTGAGTCGTCTTTGCTTTTCCCCAAGTGCCTGGCAAGTGATGCCTAAAAGACGGAGTAAGAAAGAATTCCCTCAAAAGTTTGCAGTTAATTGACAACTTTCAGCCAATTCTTACAGAATGGTAAAAATCTCAGTTTTGAGAAAACTAGACACGTATCGCTTCCGAGTGCTGCCTATAAGAATTAATACTAGACAGAGAAACTGTAGGGAGAAGGACATGAATGTAGTAATTATGAGAAGAGGTTTAATTTACACTTGTTCTTTATCAAATGCTAGAAAACGATACAGCAGAAGACACCAAATGTGTAGACTCTCCAGTGTCTAATAAAAATAAACTGTCCTAATTGAGCATAGTTAATAATATTTCTCTCCCACTAATACTGGAACAACTTTAAGCTAGTATTAGCTAGTATTAAGATAGTATTAGTCCTAGTATGACTGATAGATTTTTCTTAGTGATTCATGATAACCAACACACACCCATTGGCTTGGCCAACTGTTTCTTTGGTTTGTTGTGGTTTGGGGTTGGGTTTTGTTTCGGTTGGTTGGTTGGTGGGTTTTATTTTGCTTTATTTGCCCTTTGTAATTGTAAGTCTGAACTCAATTATTAATAGGTCAGGTACTAAAAACAGTAGAAATATGTTTAAGGTCAAAACCTAAAGATGCATCTAAGCCCAGCTGGCATATGAGAGGTATGTTAATTGGCTTTACTTTTCCCATGATTCACACACACTAATCAGCAGCTCGGGATGACTCAGTATCATGTATCATGTTCATCGGCTTTTCAATGAACCAATTATAGGATTTCATTTCTCAAGAGAAGAAAATCAACCCTCCCCGAGCTAATCTCAGGTATGCAAACAGTTAACTGTTTTAGCTGAGCTCTTATAAATTGTTATATTAAATATATTTAAGATGTATTTTATATTTTACATTATATTTGACCAGACACACAAAACACACCAGTATTTTTTGACCAAAAAGTTCAATTTGGGCAAGATTATAAGCAATTCAAACCAACCTGTTAACACAGTAAGAATCAGGCAAGCTGAACTATAAAATCACCCTCTCTCCACTCCGTAGTTTTTTGCTACAAACATTAGGAGAGAGAAACTTCTTTCCAACAACCCCTCTTTCCCCTGCAGGTTGCCGTTTACCTACCATGTTTTCTCTGTCAGCTTTCTCCTAAACGGCAGCTGTGACGGACATTTGGCAGGATCTCACACCATCAACCTGAAACCTCTTCGTGCCGGCTCGTGAACAGTATCTGCTGGCAGATGACAGGTCTCAAAGTTATTTCAACAATAGCCCTTCAAGGGCTTTTGCTCCATCTGTCGTGGTGAATTGATACTCTATCCCTAAGGTGCCAGAAATAGAAGCGCTTTATCTACTGCTAGAGTTTCCATCATCCCATAACTCCCTTAGCAAACATAATTATCACCTCAAAGCAGAAGAGACTGTAGCACGACCAAATCAGGTTCGTGCATTTACAGAAGCCCCTGATTTTATTTCCATTAACTATAAAGGTCTTTGCAAATTATCTTCCCCTCTACGCAGAACAGTGACAGAATTAAAGCTGCAGAGGTTCCAGCATCAGCTTAAATTCTCTGATGTGGGCGAATTTTAGGTTCACAGCAGGACAGTTAAAACAAACATGGGGGAAAAGGGGATTGATCAAACACCCAGCTAGCTCTCCTAAAGCTTGAACTTTCAGCCACTTTCAATACTGTGTATTTCACAGGTTTCTGATGCTTACATGAGCTAAGCAACTTTATTTTCCAAGCTATCAACAGCCCATGCACGACTGGGATGCCCTCCGCGGGGCAAGCGCTTGTTCAAGGGAAGTTGAAGAAAACAGTTGCTATTTTTTCTTTTTTTTTTCCCCTCCATCAACCGCTGTTGACACAGTGTACAATTTGTAAGAAGTGTTGAAACTTTAACTTTTAAGCATACTACAAAACCTCTGATTTTTTTCTATAAGCACTCCAAACCGAAAGCTTCATCCCCTCTCAGTGAGGTGGGGGGCTGTACCACACCAAGTTCTCCAAGCTTAGAATCACAGAATGGTTTGGGTTGGAAGGGACCTTAAAGATCATCAAGTTTTAACCCCCCTGCCCTGGGCAGGGACACCTCCCACCAGACCAGGTTGCTCCAAGCCCCATCCAGCCTGGCCTTGAACCCCTCCAGGGATGGGGCAGCCACAGCCTCTCTGGGCAACCTCTTCCAGTGTCTCACCACCCGCACAGTAAAGAATTTATTCCTAAAATCTAATCTAGGTCTCCCCTTTTCCAGTTTAAAACCATTACCCCTTGTCCTTTCGCTACACTCCCTCATAAAAAGTCCTTCCCCATCTTTCCTTTAGGGCCCCTTTAGGCACTGGAAGGGGCTATAAGGTTTCCCAGTACCTGAAGGAGACCTATAGGAGAGATGGGGAGGGACTCTTTATCAGGGAGTGGAGCGATAGGACAAGGGGTAATGGGTAAACAGCACCAAAATGAGGACTGTAGCTACTATTATTTTTTTCCCCATTCACTATTGTCCAGTTTCCATGCATAAGCAGCAAGGGGATCCACTGGACAGGTCTCTGAGCTCTGACCAGATTTCAGATGAGCAGAGAACTAAACAAAGAGTGATCTGGCTTCCACGGCCCCTTGATGAGAATCATGACACATGAGACCAGCCCCAGCGACGTGGATACTGGCTTACTGAGATCCCCAAATAAGCTGCCATTAGCACTCACCAGCTTTGGGTCCTTCCAAGTTGAGGCCAGGGTTGAAGTAGTGCCGTAGAGGATATAACTGGTGTTGCATTTGCCATTTGACCGTTGCTTTGCCATGCACTAGATGAATAAAAACCATGTCCTGCTTGACTCTGTCTGGACACGGTACCTCTGTTATATCCTAAAAGAAACACATCACATTAAAATAGCATGGGCTGAGATGAGAAAGCCACCACAACCCCAGACTGACTATCTTGAAAGGTGCAGATGCACAGAAGAACCAACACTGCTGCAACCTTTTTTTTTTTCCTTCCTTTTTTTTTTTTTTAAGGTTTGGGAGTGTAGGACGACGATTTCAAATCCATCTTAAGCTTCACAGATCTAGACAAATTGCCTCGACAAGCCTGTGGTCTTCCTCGTGTTAGAGTATTACTTCAGAGTGACAGAAGCAAAGCACGTTGCGTGCACACACAGCCACTTTAGCAACAACCCAGCGAAGTCTGATAATGACTACAGGCTAACACCCTCCTTTTCCTGTATTTTTCAAGAAAAACAAATCCCCCACACATACTAATTGTAATTATTCTGAGCCACATAAATTCAAATTTGAAACGCAAATGATTATACGTGCCTTTCTCTCCTCATCTTCAGTGGCTTGCAGGAAAGGTCTGGACAGTACCACCGTGGCAGCTCACGAATCTGAAATCTACTGCAAAACTTGTTACGGGAGAAAATACGGCCCCAAAGGTGTTGGCTTTGGACAAGGGGCAGGATGTCTCAGCACCGACACCGGTGACCACCTGGGCTTGAATCTGCAACAGTGAGTTAAATCGCGCTGACAACACCTTTTTTTTATGGTACTACCTGTCACTTAGTGGGGTATTTTAGATATTTATTCTGTTTCCATAACAACATCCAGCCTAAGCAGCATAGCAGACTTTCCTACAACCTTTCCTTCAGTGGACACAGCAATTTACCAGTTTTTAATGACATTCAGTCTCTTTAAGCATTCTTTAGAAATTATCTCCTCCTTCAATGGGCAATTCTTCTGCAGAAACAGCATTTATATGCCACCACAGCCATAAATATTCACTGCAATTGTAATTTGCCATTAGTAGCACAGTGGTAAAGTCACATTCACCACAGAACATGAGAACATTTTTTTTTCCCTGTCAGAGGCTAAAATACAGTTAGGTTTTACTGTTAAGAGAAATAATCACACTACCACATACTGTTAACTCCTCTCAATGGGGGAAAATAACATTTCTAAATCCTCCCTGTGGCTCGAATAACACTTACAAACACACCGAGAATATGTTTGAACAAAGGAATTCTAATGGGATACCATCTTCCAAAAGCCTCAGCTGCACATAATTATCTCTGACAGCACATTTTTGTAGTATTTTTCTGCAATTCTCAAAGCTGCACATTTCCAAATCAATGATGCTTTCTTCTGGTATTACTATAAGGAAACCAATTAACCAATATGCTGTGCAGGAAATAAAAGCTTAAATAATGTATTTAACTGTAGCTCCTTGTAAGATATGAATCCATTACCGGCAGAGTTCTGCATCAGAAACCACCATGTCCTGGAGATTTAATGACCTGTTGCAGCCCAACAATCCCATAATTCAAAAGTCATTCTGTGAAAAGCTTTAAGCTAGCAAAAAAGACACAAAGCACAAAGTCCAGGAATAGAAAGCAAAGCTACTTTTCTGATGTGCTTTTGACCCGAGGCCACCTAAGAACACCAGTTCCCTGTCCAAAAGCTACAGTCCCTAACGAAACCACTGCATGCAGAACCTGACCTTTATTTTCCAGCCGCTGAATACCAGTGGATAGCCAGTTACAAAGAACAGAGAGGTCTTTTGCTTGCATTTTCCCCCCTCTCGCTTCTCAATAAAACAAAATTCTTTTTTACTTTCACTTTTCATTAGTCTTACCTGCATGGGGCTGCTGTCAGCTCCATGTACTTGGCCCAAAACAGGTAACATCAGTCGTTACAGCATCAGCTGTTCAATCACACAGCGCAGAACTCAATAGAATACTGCCATTTCCCCTTCATTTGCATATCTAAGACCAGTAATGATTTTTTTTTTCCACCCCTTACCAAAAAATCGTGAAATTGTATTTCTAGAATGAAGGCAATCTTTTAAGCAGTAATTTTTAAACACTGAAACCTTTTGTTTTAGGGGCTCACCGAAGTCTGCTCGCCCTTCTACACCAAATAATCCTTCAAAGTTTGCCAAAATGATGGTAGATGTGGATAAATGTCCCCGTTGTGGCAAATCAGTGTATGCTGCGGAGAAGATCATGGGAGGAGGAAAAGTAAGTAGTTACGACAGCACTAGGAACCGAACACGCTCTTATAACGGTGACAAACGACAGCGAATAAGGTCCTTGATCTTTCACATTTTTACTCATAGTCTCGCTGAAGGGAACATGAGGATGAATTAGCAAACTGCTAGAGAGACTGGTGTACTTTTTGGGTATAAAACCATGTGCTTTTCATAAGCTGCCTTCAACTTTTTGCATCCTGTTGATCTCCAGGGATATTTATAATTTAAACATTTATTTGTAGTGGCAATTGCAGATATACTAAGAGATCCTGGGACTAGAGAAACAGAAGTCTCACAGGCTAGCTAGCTCTCTGCTCTAGGAACTCTCACTAGAATGTTATTTCTGCACATCAAAGTGGCCAAGACAAGAGTGGTATCTATAGCTCTGAGCTTTTTAGTGGACCTTCACTAATAACAGAGTCACTAGGTAAGATATTGATATGGGATAATAAAGTAATTGAAAAAAAAAGACTTACCTAGAATGACTGAAAATAGAAGCCATAAGACCAATTTTAACCTTTTTATACCATAAAAAGCAATAGTTCTGTGGTTCTTCTATCTGCTGTCTGTGCACTTTGTGTAATATACCATGAATTGCCTTAATTCCCTCAGCCTTGGCATAAGACGTGCTTCCGCTGCGCTATTTGTGGAAAGAGTTTAGAATCCACGAATGTTACAGACAAAGATGGAGAGCTCTACTGTAAAGGTAAGAACTGCAATGAGCTGCACTGGGTCACTAAATTAATTTAAAGTCACCCTTTTTAGACCTCACATTGCCATCATGATTTACCTTGTTGCATGCTTAACAACTTCAGGACATTTCATTTTATCTTTTTTAACAACTTTCTGAAAGCAAAGCACAAAGCTATGGTAACACTGCAGTTGCATCTTCTACTATGAACGTTTAAATTTTAAAGTTGTAATTTTTCTACAAATATGGCATCCTCTCAGCTCTGTCCCTGGGCAAACACTGGCCATATCATCTGGGCAGCCTCTTGTGGCTGTGTAATCTCTTTCACTCACAGAAACCAAACCAATCCCCAAGCCACAAAGACACAGATCTTCAACAGTCACCTGTAAGGTCATGGTCCTAACTGGACTTCTTCCCAGTAAGAGTTAAAAGATACTTCCACCATATTGGTAGTACAGATAACACATTCATTCTAAATCACATGTCCAGATGTTCTCAGATCAAGAAAATTCAAAGACTTCACTTGACTCTTAGAAATAGCTTAAAGAGGCAAACATGTAAAGTTTTTATATCCTGGGCCAAACTTTACGGAGAATCCTAAAGAATAATACTTAAGTTCTGTGACTTTGGGTGCAGTCTGACAACTAAAAGCGATGGCAATAGCATATTTGGAGAAATATGCTGAGCATTTACTACTTCCTTAGCAGAGCTGCGATAACTAACTATGCCCATACTGACCAATACAGACTTAGAATGGGATGGTTTAAACTTCCATCAATAGTTTCTGGACTATGCTCTGGTTCTTTTAACCTCCTTTGAAAATTTTGGACTTATTACTCAGTCTGTATTACCCATACAGACCGAGTTTTACTACTATTTTTGGACAGGAAAGTAGCTTTAATGAAAATATTACTTAGATCTTAAATACATGCAGTTCCTTTTTTTTTTTTTTTTTTTGAGAAGATCGGATGTGACTTGTTTAATACATGATTCCAGTTTCACTATTAGAGCCTGTAGACACTTCTGGGAAAGACACCATTTCAGATTTCCTTCCTTTTATTAACTTAAATTTGGAAGTGATACTAAAAGGAAAAAGTCATTTACCTTTATATGAAAACATTCATTGCCCAGAGAAGCTGTGGCTGCCCCATCCCTGGAGGGGTTCAAGGCCAGGCTGGATGGGGCTTGGAGCAACCTGGTCCGGTGGGAGGTGTCCCTGCCCAGGGCAGGGGGGTTGGAACTCGATGACCTTTAAGGTCCCTTCCAACTCTAACCATTCTGTGATTCTATGATTCAGAATTCCATTTACCTCCCTCCTTCTTTTTCAGTTTGTTATGCAAAGAACTTTGGTCCCAAAGGAATTGGGTTTGGTGGCCTCACTCAAGCGGAAAAGAAAGAGTGCGAATGAGAAGAAATGAATGCAACCAACTCAAACTGCTGTTGATGCCACCAAGTGATAGTTGTCAAGTAAAACATTAAGCATCACATATTGCTAAGAACCTAGGGCATTCGTTTAAGATTTTCCACTTGCAGGAAAAGCTTGTGAGCTTGTATCTTAAGAAATTCTTAGAATAGCTTAAAAAGTTACAGTCATAAAACAAGATTCATGTTTGTTTTACAGTAAATAAAGACAAAAAAAACCCCTCATTGAACATTATTCATGGAACTAGTATTTACAACACTTGAGTCTGGAATTCTAAAGACTCAGCATAGTGTCCCATTAAGACAGAGATACCTTCTGGAGCACACGGGTCAGAGTGTTCCAACTTAGGCCATGTTTTCCTTCCTTCAGAACGCAATCCCGTCTGTCTGTCTACCGATTTCCTAATGGAGCATTGAATGTTTTGACCTTTGTGTTCTGGCAAAGTAGACGTCACTCACTTTGAAACAATTAAAAAGTATTTGAAATTCTTTCTTTCAAAGGAGATATTTCTGAAAAAAAAATTTTTTCGTAGAATAGTGTTGTAAGTTTTGTTATTGTATGTTTTCAAGCTACAATAAAGTACTGATATCGCTTCACATTATTTTTACCTGAATTTCCTTGTGTTTTTATGTTCTACAACGTCGCAGATAAATACATTTCACCAAAATGAATGAAATCACTTATTTCTTAACTACAAAAGATGCATTTCATTACACTACTTTTACGGTGTCAGTTCTAGATGGTATTTCATCTTCTGATCTTGATTTGTTCCCCTACTGTTTTTCATTATTACCTACTTGGACTTACATTCAAAACCACACTGCCCAGCTGGCCGCCCCAGACTGACGCTCCAGCCTTTTCTTGGGAACATGGCTGACACCTGGCTATTAAAGATCTATGCATGCAGCTGGGAATAATTCCCTCTTTTTATATACATTTCTATTTTCCATCATCAACTCACCTATTCTCATACACCAACAGGGCATTCATACGTGCAAACCACAAAGCAGAGTCAGGCTTTTTCTTCAGGTTTTGTGCCTACCTGTTCTTAAATACCTCACTGGTCACTTACATCCCTTGATCCCTTGGATAGATCCCTTGAATCTATTTCAGGTTGTAAAAATACACTTAGAAGCAGGAAAACTCTATTTTATTTACATGTAAACCCTCCAGATACAAAGGCTTAATAGGGATTTTCACAACATGAGCAATAAAAGTATAGGGTAATAGTAATATTAAATTTTTAAATATGAACATTCCCCTTAATTTTCAAATGTATTTTTCTTCTATTGTCCTCAAAATAAAGCAAAGGCTACCAACATGGTTTTGAAATTCTGCCCTAAAAAAAACTTACCTTCAAAAATATATTGTTAGTGTCATCTCATCACGTAAAATTTCAAATAGTTTCAGCTCAAACTATATATACAGACACATAGTGATTGTTCCGTATACAAACCTGCTGGAGCTTATGCAAGGTCGGTTAAATATTTGAAACAATAATAAAAATAAAAGCAACTTCAGAAGAATTTGTAAAAATTAACAAAATATCCATTTTTATTTAGCTTTCAGCTCAACGGTTTTAGAAATTAAGCAAAACTTTATACAGAATGAACATTTTTCTCCTTTGCCAGATGAAAAAGGTTGTATTGCTTGGTCCAGTCAACTACATTGGGTTTGAACATACCAAAGCAGCTGCACTGGAAAAAGTCTGCAATATTCTGGAAGCATCCAAGACTGAAAATGAGAGAAATATCAATTAATAAACCTAGCAAAAGATGACTGAAGACATCAGAAAATACACATTCACTATGAGACAGCATTTAAGATACAAAACTCCCAGTTGAGGGAGAAGACAGATAAGGACAGTTCTTTATTGAGCATTATTCCTTTGTTGTATTTTTACAACCTGTATTGTATTTAAGAGTGAGAGCAGATTAGGTTCAACTCCAGTATTTCAAAGCTAGCACTTAGCAAATCTCATCTGCTAACACAAAGGAGGAAATATGGACTTCTAGTGTAACAGGGACACTTTGGCACTAATTTCTCTATTCAGCTAAATACTGCAAGAGAAGGCAGAAAGGGGCCAGTTAGTAACTTAATTCTCTTTCTCAACCTACAGAACAGGCACAGAGATTGATGAACAAATTAAAAGAAAACACCCCCTCACCCCCTAAATAGCGTCTACTGGTTAGAGCTATGGACTCATTTTTGCCACATCTCTTTCCTACATACACATCCATGCAGCAAGAACCCCAGTAGCTATTATGCTGGCTGCTTATTTCCTAGGGTGAAGGAAGTTCTCAGCAAGGAAAATGAGGCCCATTTCCTCCTCTTAGCACAACTCATCACAGGCACGTCCATAGACTACCAGGCATTTTTGCATTTAGGAAGTAGTGAAGCAAATCTGTACTGAAAATATAAATGCTTAATACACGTTATTCTTTAATACTCACTTGTATGGAGTCCTCCTGAGAGAAACAGGATGCTTAGAAGATTTTCTCTGTATCAGGAGGTTCATTCTCTCATATGAGGTCAACCCCAAGAATGCAATCTACAAAAAGGAAAATTGAAGAAATGGGTAAAACATGAACATCGCAAATTAAAATTCTGGTCATATGAAAAGATCCTATTGAGAAGGGACAGAGGGGAAAAGGTTGGCCATATCTAACAAATAAGTAACTACTGCTGTCATTAATGCCTGAAAAGTGTGTTTATAAACATCACTTGGACTAAAACAGAACCCAGCAAGCTGTAACATCAACCCTTCCACTGAGGAGGCAAGCTTAATTAGGATGATTGTAATGACTGTGCTTTTATAGGTGTCTGTAGAAGTGTAATATCTACAGCAAATTTTGTCTGAGGATAAATTGGTAGAAAAAGATCTCCCCAAAAAGACAAAGTAGCCTCCAAAAATGATGAAGTAGATGTCAGAGACTCAACAATAACGTTTTCATTTTCTTGATTCCCTGTCTTCTTTCACTGAGTTTCACAATGAGATTTATGGGGTTTTTTCCTGTATTTTTGCTTACTTATTCCTTTTTACCATTTTCTTTTTCTTTTAATCAACAGAAATCTTATAAGCCCTTATAAATGGCTGCAAGGTTGCTTCACTGAATGATATGCTGAATATCATAAAGCAGTACACTTACAAATGAAACACAGTAGCTAAGTACTGAGTTTCCCAGGATGATATCTCAATTTCTTGGACGCCACAGAAAACTAGCAGCACAGATTTAAAATGGTGCTTTTTCTTTTTTTCTTTAAAACAAGATGTAAAAAAAAAAAACATCTTTAGCTCAGTATGCTTAACCCATATTAAATTGACACGTATTTCCTAAAAGCTGCTAAACAAGCTGTTTCCTAGATGTTTTAAGACAGCGCTTCTCAATTTTGTTTGCATAGCCAAGCTCTCTCCGCGAAAAACATAAACAAGAAATTTGACAGTCCTTATGAGGATAAAATCCAGATCATATATTTTCCTTGTAGCAATGGGATTCAATACAGGCTAATGATGAACTGCTGAGCTCTGCCATGGAATTTTCAATTCAGGACTAATTGGGCTTTTGTGCCATTTTTGAGACAGTAATACCAGTTCTATTAGTCAAGTAAGTTTCTTCACATACATCTTTTTATAGGTTTGGAATTTTTGATGAGCAGTAAACCCAGAACTCAGTTATAGAATGATCTGCAGACCGTCATCCTACTTTTAACACAGGAATGCTGAGGGCACAAGTAACCACGAAACTTAAAGAAAAACACCTAGATGTGACATTAATTAGTCGAGGAAAGCAGGGACAAAGTTTTTATGGGAGCAAATCGTGTAGGGAAATTTTTAATATGATGACTGTTTAAGAGAGAAGCATAAACTGAAGCAAAATAATACCTGATAAAGCTGAACCGTTAGCCCCAACGAAGCCCATACAGTATGAAAGCAGGCGACTGCGAAGATGTAGGAAACCCAGGGAGAACAATATGTTATCTGGGTGAAGTATGTCCATGCTCCATCTCGATGATAACTTGTTGGGCAACGGTTTGACCAATCTGAAAAGATGCATAATCAGTTAATTATGTCTTTAACATAAACCACTTAGGTTTATCTAGATTATTTGCATGAGACGGATATCACATTGCAATATGCTCTAGAAATACCATATTTAATACATCATGTTCCCACTTAAAAGCACCCACATAGATATGTGCCTGTTTGCTATTCTGGCTGCATAATCTTTATGTTACGTGTTCATAATCCACAGTAGGAACATTCAAGACACTATCTAGGTACTTATTTATTTATTTATTTATTTCATTTAAGTTAACTAGTGATATTGAAATAAGTCATGATCTCCTATTGTAAAGGCTTCTGAAATTTTGCTTCATGATTATTCCTAATTTTAGGACAAGAATTTATCATTTATCTTAAACACCATCATCAACAAAAGACAACATTATGGCAAAGAGGCCAAGAAAGCAGTATTTTACCACTATTAAACAGATGTAAGCTGGGATATCAAACTTCCGTAGATTTCTTAAGAGATACTTAAAGCCTATCACATGTCTCTTTAACCTATAAAAAAAAATCCAAACAACTAAAAGCAGAGCAGCTTTTTTTTTGCCTTTCTGCAGGAGAACAATAAAGAGGTTTTCCTCCCATGCTTCTTCACACACAAGAAATGGAGCAAATAACATGCTTTTTGTATACACAAGACCACCACTGAAACACAGGAAAGCAACTCATGTTCACACGAGTGTCCTGTGTCCTCCGCTGCCATAGCCAGTTCACTTCACTTCGAGTTGAATATTGACTCATTCCAATGTAATGTGAAGTAATACACAATAAAATGATCTTCTATTCTCTATCTAGAAGGTTAGTGCTATGTTAATTCATCCTCAGGACCTACGTTATAAGGGCTCTCCTCTCCCCTCCAAGAAAAGTCTTAATTTTCCAAAGTAACAGGTTGGATTTACTAATGATATACACAGTTCTCCTCTTTTCAAAGTTATCACTACATTAAAAAAAAAGAAACTTTTGCTAGTGTTCAGAATGGAGATTTCCAAATAACAAGATAAGAAAGACTTTACAAAAATGTATTTACAAACTTATTCTCTATTGCAGTAAGGGGTATCCAGCCTAGGACCTGTACCCTGACCGTCCTGCACAGGGCTTCCCTATTTCATCTCCAACAAAAATGCTTTCTGATATTGTATTTTCCAATGGACATCTCACCAGAGCTGTATCTTAGTTCCTACTCATCAGATATTTGACCAAAGACTCAGATATGATATATTTTCATTTAAAGACAGAATTACAAGATAATATAATTGCTGAAATGTGGTATCATTTGCACAGGTATAATTGCACTTGCTGGAAATGAAAAGCTGAAATATTAAGACCATATATATGCATCCTTGAAAGCTGAATTATTAATTATTGGATACATACACACAAAAGTTCCATAAAGCAGCCAGACACCGGTCATGGTTAGGAAAGACAGGAACAACAGGTAGTAACGATGGTTCCCAATTCCTGTATTTGAGTCAGGGGAAAAAAACAGTTCAACATTTTAAAATTCAGCAGTATTTGCCTTTCTCCTTAAGTTAATGTGAATAAAAAGAATCAAACCCATTACCTCTGCTATCCTCAAGTGAGTTTGACAAAGCTGATCCCTTTCTCAACTTTCTCCTGTAAGCCACCCCAATTTATACAATAGAGTTAGTTCTGAAAAAGTCAACTGGGATTTGTCTCTCCTTCAGAGCATGCCTTCAGCTCTTTTAGTGAGATGAGGACTAATTATGCAACCACAATTCTCCCTACGCACACTACAACTGTCTCATGTAACTGAAAAAAAATCTAAGCTATTCAATTTAATTGTTTGACCTTCGTGTGCTTCAGAATTGCAAGCAGATGCCCAAAAAAACCTAGACTTCTGTCAGAGAAACCGTTACATGAAGACACACAATTATTTTTCCTTTAAATTACAATCAGCATTGCTCAAAGCTTTGAAACAATGCATCAGAAAGATGTCTCACCACCTTGTAAATAGCAAACACTGGAAAAACATTTCCAAGTATTTAGCATAATAAAAAAAAAGCTATTGGCAAAATAATATTCTAAAAATATATTGCTACAGATGTAAAGCTCTAACCTTTCCATCTTAAGCAGCACCAGTAATGAGATAGAAAGGAAGAAAGAGAGAGTTTCTCAAAGAACAGGAGAACATCAGAAACGCCCCCCAGGGTTATCTCAGTGGTCCTGCTGCTCCAGCTGCTGCCTCTAACAGCGACAACAGGCAGCGTTAGCTCCAGAGGACAAACGAGCCTGGCTGCTTTCTATACTTCATTCTCCTTATCCACAGCTCCTGCATTAAAACCTCAGAGCGGGCATTCTTGTCCAGTTCTTTAAGATTTACTGTCGGGTATGTTGTCCAAAAGTTTGTCTGATGCCTTTCTGAACCATCTGATACTGCTGGTATCTGCAAACCCTTACAGCAGCAACCTCCAAAATTTCATTACCTGCCACGTAAAGACATTTTTTCTTTAGCAGTTTTAAATCCAATTGCTATACTCACTGAGCCTCCTCTAGTTCTAGGACGATGTGCTTTGCAAATAACAGATCTGCACTCACTTTAGCCACCACCTTCAATGCTTTTTTTTCTTTAAAAAAAAAAATAATAAAAAATCTCAGTCATATCCCGCATTCCTTCTTCTCTCAAGAGAAAGAGTCCCAAGGCTTTTTGGTCTCTACTCTTAGGGTGACCACTCCATCCCATTAATCATTTTTGCTGCCTTTTTCTCTGCCATCTACCCAATTTCCCTCTGGCATTTCTCAGTAACCCCTTCAGTATCATCTGGGTATTCTTCTGTCAGGTGTGTTCTCTCTCTAAGGAGTTACTTCTGCAACTTTTAATCCACATGGTATTTTCAAATTTGATGAAGCAAACACTCTCACCTATGCACTGTCCAATCCACAGAGAATGCTGATCGTATCTGGCTACACACGAATCACAAGCAGGGCAATGCAGAGATCTCAAAGGCTTCCTTACCTGGGCGAGGATGAAGGAAAAGAATACAGTCATAGCAAAAGCATCTATTTTGCTCAAAGTTTAGAGCCTCATCTCATGGGCGCTATCAGAATTTGTAACTGTGTAGCAGTTACCACATCACAGAATATAAATGAGAACTCTATCCATTTTACAAAAAAAAAAAAAGAGAGATGGAGTGAATAATAATTATTATTAAGATTAGAGTCCAAGGATCTCAGAGCATCTCTATTGTCACAGTAAAAGAAAAAAAGAAAACTAAGGAATATAGAACAAATTGTGCACATAACACTTGCATGACAAACAATGAGCTCTCTATAGCAGTATTGAGTAAAAGCCAGGTTTTAAAAAAGAAATACCAAAGCCTCACTTACAAGGCACGATGTGCAAAACGTTCTGAAGTCCAAGCAACCCGCTTCCGCAAGAGCTACAATGTTCTGAAAGACAAAGGAGGTTGCACTTGCATTTGGATCACATTTTCAGGGGATCTACAAAGATTTTACACCAGGCCCTTTGCTGTTCATAAGCATTTTGACTGCCAAGCACCAACAGGAATAAATACCTGCTTCTTAAAAAGGGTCCGGGAGAAACACAACAGACTAACACAACTTCACTCATGCAGGATTGTTCAGAAAAGTATCTCTACGTTGCCAAATAAATAATATGAACAAAATATTTGTAAAAATGAGATGGTATTAAGATACAAGGTACTTTCCATATAGTCAGCCAGAATTCAGAGAGATGAGAAGAGCTGCTATACTTACTGTTCCTTTATGAGTACTAGAGAGACAATGTTTACTAGTCCCGTGGCAACAAGTTAAAATTGCAGTTTATTCTCCCCAACAATCTAAAGAAATACCAACTGATGGGGAGCAAAGAGACCACAAAGAAAATGCTTTCCTTAATCCACAACTTGGGGAGACCAAACCCTAACTTCTCCATTGACTGGCTGGCTGTGATTTCTTTTTGCTGTTCTAAAATAGAGCTAGGAAATATCATGCAATTTACACGATGCTTAAGCTCAAAAATCAAACCATTACACATATCCTCCTGACAAAATTTAAACCATTTCTAGTCTTACGAGCATGGAGAATTGTAGGAAAGCGTTGTGAATCTCTCTTTCTAACCTTCGACAACTGGAGTGAAAAGCATACAAAATCGATATTTATTAAGTGAAGGTCTACATGAATTCCTATCACAGACAACACCAGTGGTGTGGGTCTCTACAATATCTGGCCAAAGCTCCCATTTCGATGAGAAGATGAAGGCAAGGAAATTATGGCAGGATGATAAAGATAAGGAAACATGCAACAGTAGACAAAATTAGCTATGATCTATGTTGTTCAATGACAGTTAAATACTTAAATAAAGAATATTTCACGGCTCTCAATTTTAACAAAGCTGCAGAGAACAACAAACAAATCAACCAAAAGTACCCATGTGTTGTTGCACCAGGGAGCCCTTCCATTCCTTTCACCTACCTCTTTTCTCTCTTTTTCTGAAGTCTTAATATATCCAGGATCAGTTGTCCAAGTTTTATATAAATAATAAAGAAGACCCACCACACTGAACATGACAGTGATTGCAACAATTGTATTGGTTACATGTAATATTCAGGTTAAGGAATATGTTCCTATATATATTCTCATATCACTGCTATTTGTCAGACAAAACTTTCTCAAATTAGTTTATGCTATTTTACAAGCAACACACACACACACCAAAAAAAAGGAATGACTTTCACTTCTCTGGTAGGATCCTGTCTGTCCTTCAGAGGCCATCTTCTCAGAGAAGCTGAGTATTCTGTCCAGTTTGAGCGTCGGAGAGAAGACTTTTACAACTGTATAAACCTGCCCTGTCTTCCTGACCAGCAGAGTGCAGACTTTTACCTTTGAATATTTAACAGACAGAAAATTGATTTGATTCCTTTTCCCCCACTCTGAAGTTTTTCTATTTTATTTAAACAATACCCATCAGACATGAAGAGTTATTAAGCTTCCAGCAGCTGCGAGATTTCTTTGACTGCTGCACACACCCCTAAGTCACCAAACAGGCTCTTACTCAGGCTTTTTTAAGTCTTGAGCTCTCTTGTTTGTTTTGGTTTAAAAAAATGGAATTTAGATAAATAGATAGAAAAATGTAACTTCAGTCATCCTGGAACTACCTTTGTCACTCAAAAAGCCAAGCACAGAGTGTTAAACATTTCTGAAGGTAACGGGGCAGCTACTGGGAACCCTTCTTCCCACACAAATATACTAGAAAAACCATGATGATGAAATGGCAAATTTCTGGTCTAATTGGACGTTTTTCTTTTTGCGTACCCTTTGCTTTTGTCCAGTGGCTGACTGTTTTAATGATTGTATATGGAGGGAATCCATCTCTCATGAAGTCTTAGCAAACTTAAATTCAGTACTTTTTATATATAGAAACTTGCTGCAACTTTTCTAGTAGACAAATTATTACTATATATGAGGGAGGATATAGCCATTAGGAACATAACTTTTATACTACTGAGTAAAAACATCTGTACGTCAGGTGAAAGGGGGAGAAAAGCACATCAACTATCTCCATACAGCAAAAGAGGAATGTGGAGTGGGATACGTTTTACACCAATTAAATTCAGGCATCAAACCTGAGATCTCAGGCTCCTAAAGAACCATCCATGATGCCACCAAGGAGGAGTCAGGGAGCCCAAGCCTAGATGCCATCTCCAGGGACCACTCAGCCCCTATATAAGCTGCAGAGGGTAAATAACTCCCAAAAAACAAGCGCTGCAACCTTGAAGATTGTTTTGTCTTACGAACTAAAACCACTACTGAAGTAGCTCTAATTAAAATCAAGGTAATAAATGATGAAATGTTAGTGCTGTCTATGAACAGCCTTATAGCTGTGTTTGTCACAATGCAATTGCAGGGTGCACTGATGTTATGTCAAAATGATTTCCTGTGGATACTGCTGGTCTGTTCCCACTTCTACTGGTTTTTGGAGCTGAGAATAGTCCTTAATCAGAATGGCTGGACATAAATACAGATAACTAGGATTCTGAACACTTTATAAAGGATCTGTGACCACTTCCAGAAGGAAAAGACATTCATGACTAAAAGGGTTGGACAGTGAAACGGAAAACTATCCACTCACCCATCTCACCAAGCTATGGTTAGACCTTCAAGAATATCACTACGCTCTTTATCTTCAGCGAAGTGTCTGACTCAAAACCCTATTCCTGGATTTTTTTTCTTTCAATTTAGATGACACCAAAAAAACCTTAAAACCTCACAACGCAACACTGAATAACTTGATCTTCATTTAGACAAGCATATGCATGTATCCCCAGCGGGAATATGCTTGATCAGTTCATCGAAATTAATCCTGATAATTCTAATAAGAACATCTTAATTAGGAACAGTACAAAAGAAAATGCCACTTAAAGGAGGAAGCAATTAAAAATTAATTAAAATTGTCTAGCAATATACTATAACTGGTTTAGTAGAAAATTATTTACAGTTCTAAGTATCTCCCTAAAGGCCTTCTCACAAAACTTAATCAATAAATAAATAGATGCCCCTTGTGTAACAACAGAGCAGGGCACTGAAAAGGAAGTGTAAACTACTGAAATGTTTTTGCACTCATCAGTGCAAAGCCTCTTCAAAGAAAGTAAATGAAAGGTAGACATTAATGCCCTGTACGCTGAGGGTGCAGCGTAACCCGTAAATAAAGACAGACAGGAGACTGGAAGATCTATTTTTGATATTCTAGTAACATAAGAAATAGTTCAGAATTGTACACAAATATCTGCTATAGACAAAAGAAGGTACAGATTTTTAGTCCATACATAACTTTAATTTAAACTCAAATTTATTTCACCCCTGCCCTATAAATGTAAACCAATCTTACCACACATTAAGTCATGTGCAATTATCTGGGACTGCTCATGACTATTTCCATGACCAGGCTTGGATTTTTTAGGAACTATAAGGAGAGTTCTATTGCATTTCTTGAGTGAAAGGATATCAGGAAGGAGCCAGAGAAACCAGGTTGTGGACATCCAAAAAACTGAACTTAGCAGAAACGCTGTGGGAAGGTACCTTAGATTCTTCAGCCCCACAAATTGCCTGAAAGAATATTGAAAAAAAAAAAATCAATTAAAAAAAAAAAGATTTAAAACGTTAACTCCACAGAGTATAAATTATCTGATTTGTTATTTTTAAAACTTCACTCGCAGAGTGTACTTCATGCCTCTCTCAAAGCAATCAAGAATTGTCACTCAAAAGCATTATTTAGCCAGATGCGCGGGGGGTTAACAATGCATAAATAAAACAGATGAGTGCTCGGTTCCAGCCTAATATTATGTGTCAGAAATACTGTAGCACTAGGTGCTCTGCCTATTTGCATACTGATAGCACTGCCATTTCAAGGAACACTGACTCTTGCATTAAGTGTTGAAGAAAGCAGGAAACCTGCGAAACAGCTTCAGATAACACTGGGAGGTCTGGGGAGCAGAGGGGGAGGGAACGGTTCATTAAAACTCATTCTGTGTCACAAACACAGAAAGAAAAGTCAAGATAAAGCACATTTCTGTGCACTGTGAATGGATAACTCGGTGTCTTCCAGGTGCAGACCTTCAAAAACACTCTCTTTATCATTAAAATTAGCTATCAGACTCTTAAACGCTTCTCCCCCCCTCCCCAAATCCTGCAGCGATGAGAAACTATTATTTTACACACCTCAAGACACCTAATTTCTGTGGTTGTTCTAAAAAGTACATACATTTAAATCCTTCATATACTCTGCAGCCATTTCTCAGGAGGTATTTTTTACGGTAAGCGGAACTAAACTCTGAAAAGAATACTGCATTAGACACCTTATACGGCGTCTGTAACAAATAAATACATATACAGAGAGAAAAAGCCACAAACCTCACGAAGAGAGCCATCCCAAACAGCAGGAGGAGGAGCAGACCTCCTTTCAAAAGCCAGGAATCAGAATTTAAGTCCATTACATGTCCTACGGCCCACATCAATGTCAAGGAAGTTGCCAACAGCAGGAAGAGCTGTTAAGATGGTTATTGTTAAAATATGACAAAGTATTCAAGAAGGACTTTCTTCATTAGTGTTCTGATCATGCAATAACAAATGCTGAAAGACGCAAGGTAGATAAGACAGTGACACATGAACACACCAAGGAGGGGGCCGTGGGGAACACATAAAATCCCCACCCAAAGCACCACTACATGCTCTTAAAGAATTTTACTTTTCCACAGCCAATTTTAGAAACCTTAGAAGATCTTCTTGACAAAAGAGTTAAGTTGCATATTATTCCAAACACAGAATGCTGTAGCTTTACTTCCATTAGTTATTACTAATCAAATTACCTCATATTTTTCTATTATTTTCAGTAACCTATTATTTCTTCTGCTTCTCATTCTTTCTTCCTCTTGCACCATGAGAACCACAAAGCGATTCCGGCTTTGATAAGCAAGGTCCAGTGGTGTCTCTCCCTTTAACAACAGAAACGTTTATTTCTTTATGCATTTCATACATAAATACTTTCCTTTTTAAAAGAAGCAAGAAGTAAGTATAGGTATACCAAGAATAACCTGGAAGATAGCCCTCCTTTATGGTTTAAGGCAAGGGTAAATTACATTCCGAGTTTCAACGTGCTTAATCCAGTGCTTTGTAGTTCTAAAAACTGGTATTTGCAACCAAACTGCATCCTTTTGAGTTATCTGTTGGACTATCTCCAATAACCTGAAACCCTAAAGTGTCAGTAAGCATGTAATATTCTAGCAGAAAGGGAAGATTTCTTGTTTATGCTAACTTTTTAAAACCAAACAGCGATACCCTAAGTCATACATACAAATAAAAAAGAAGTGGCAGATGGAAAAGCTGCACAGCTTAACACACAAACCCTGAATAACTACACTGTATAAACATATCTATATAGACATAGGAATCAAGAGCTTATACTTCTCACTATCAGTCTTTACAGATGTTAGGACAAAGACTTTTATGTGTGACTACCCCTTTTAAACATACAAACGGGCGTTGTCAAACACTGTTTTCCACAGGATGACATATGCATCTTTTTAAAGTCTTTAAGTGTCTCACTGGACACCAAGTCACCCTTACTTTCAAAAGTCTGGCCAAAGTCATGACAATGTTTTAAAGTAGAAAACAGCCAACTTAAAAAGAAAAAAAAAAAAAAAAGAAAAAATAAAAAAGGGAGGATCTGCAAAGGACACAATTACGTTCAGAGTGACTGAAAGGACTGGCTGTTCATTCAATTAAGGTTGCAAGGAACCTCTGAATTCATACTTTGTTTCACACCACAAGAAAGGTGCTAACTCCTTTTGGGAAAGGCTAAGAACTCCTGGCTCTGAGTCTTAGGGGACTCAGATTTTTCTTTACGTTTATTTCACACTGTCATGCCACGTGGAACGAAGAATCACGAAAGAAACTGTACCTTGACATTTTTTATGTCCAGGCTAGCACCAGCCTCCAGCAGCAGATCCACTGCACTGGCATTGCCTGATGTTATTGCCCAGTGCAGTGCAGTATTCTTTTGAACATTCTCTACAGCATTGAGAGAGGGGTTAAACTTTAAGAGAAACCTCGTGGGTTCCGGTCTAGATGAAAATAAAGTAGAAAAGTTAACAAGCAGAAGATAATCTATACCGGAGATGAAATTTTCTAACACCTTATAAAAACCACCGTTCCCATCTGTGAAATAACAGCAGATACACAATGTCTTGTCTCAGAACAAGCTCATCAACGATAGATCCAAATTCATAATTCATGAGCTGCCCTGAAGGTTTTTCTCCAGACTACGTTATCTTCCAATTTTAACAAGTACAAGGTATATACATAGATTTTATCTTTCTACAACACATCTCCACATTTTATTTATTCTAAATGCACTGTACTGCATCCACCTCCATTTATTTTAATTTCTCAGAAATCACAATAAGGCTGCAGCTGGTTCAGCCACAAACCTAAACTTTTTAAGCAATTTGTTTGACTTTCTTTGCTATATCCCATTCACCACTTCATAACTCCTGATCTCTGAAATACTATATATTTCAGTACAATAAAAGGGAAAGGAATGTCAGTTTAACAAAAAAAGTTTTCATGGAAAAACCTTCACCTCATGACTTTTTGGGTACAATAAAATAGCTTCTTTTTAATTTATTCACTACTTACCCAATCACTTTTTGTGCTGATATCATTAAAGGTGTTTGCCCATTCAAGTCTGTTGTGTCTATGTTCTAAGTATCAGAAAAAGATAATAAGCAAGCAATTACTAGCGATTTCAGCAAACAGAGAGATGGTCAGATTCAGAGGCAAACAGCAGGCTTAGCTTCACTGTGGAAGTGGTAAGAAACCAAATTATACCAGCCAAGAAGCAAACACTCAATGAAATAATTTTTTCTGTGTCTACCCATCATTACATTAGAGCAGATTTACTTAAATATTTAATCGCTTCAATTTTTTAGTAGAAGACCAGTAGGATAAAAACTTTCTTAAGTTTGTGATATATAGAATCAATACCTATATTCCAGAAGTCAGTTACTCTACTAAAGAGAATTCTGAGAAAGAAAACAAACTTGAGCAAATCTTTAAATCCCAATACACAGCGTTTCAAAGAAAGAGTCTAGATCATATAAGAACTCTCTTCTCCTTCATATTTGACAATTTACACTTGTCATTAATCCTGCTTACTTCAGATGTTAGCTAATCAGACATCAACTAGAGTGGATACAATAAAGAATTACAGAAAATACAGAAGAACGAAATTTCTAATAAAAAATTCAGACCTAGTCTGATCATCTACTCTTTGTGCTTCAATTGATGAACAGCTGCACTGATTAGTAGTTACAAATTTGTAATCAAATAGTAAATACTTCATAGTGTGTATACTTCATATACTGCTTTTCATTATCAAGTTTAAAAGCCAGTTGTTATTTATACATCACCACAAATCTGCATAGCCTTAAAACACTTAAACACCCTGAATTCTACAGAGATGACAAGAACAGGGTAGAGTATTAAAAATATATATACGTTAAAAAAAGTAATCCAAGTTTCTCTGAGCTTATGACACAGGAAAATAGTTATCAAATACCTGCCTATCATCTAGAAAACAAAACAGTAAATTCTGAAATGCATTGTCCATACAGGCAGCTATTCATAAGTAGGAAAAAATCTTTGGGACATCAACAACATACCTGGCCTTTTGCTATAAGGTAAGCAACAATGGGCATGTGCTGAAACAGCACTGCTAAATGAATGCTGCTGTATCCTTCCCCATCAATAAGACTGGGATCGGCTCCACATTTCAACAACAACATGACCATAGGGAGGTGCCCTTGTCTGCAACGATACATGAAATGAAACTATAGAGATGAGAAAAAAAGATGGAAATTTTAATGAAAGCCTTGCCTTAATAATTCCCATAGATACCCCTCCAAAGAAGTTTACTTTCAGGTTCTGGTGTTTTTATTCAGGAAATTAACTTCTTTTAAATTAAAAGTCTTTATGAGAAAATTATGTTAAATGTGTACCTTAATAAGTTAGTCTAAGGCAAACTGTTAATTTAGAATACAATGATTATTCTACAGTAATTTCTCCTGTGAGCAGTCTTTCCCAGAAGTATCTAATTTTTTTTGGCAGAAGGCTACAACAGCCCCGAAGAAAGAACTGATCTTCCAGTGTGAGAATTTGTACTCAGATACATTATCCCAGAATAATTATTTAAGGTTATGTTTTTTCATAAAAAAAGGTAGTGCTTCATTATTTTGATCGTTTTACTCAAGTTCTGTCCTGGAAGCCAAAGTTGGATGATTTTAAACTGTGCCAGGTCAAACAGATGGAGTCTAGAGCAGATGTAGAAAGAGATATTAAACATACATGAGCACAAGTAGCTACAGTCACCCAGGAAGAGAGATTGCATGGTTTGGTGGCAGCTATAAGGAGCCCCAAGAGGAAAACCTAAAGCCACTGGAGGAAGAAGGCCAAAAACCTCTCTACACGACTCTAAACAACAAAACTGTGCCCTAATAAGCATCATCACTTAACACTTCATTGCCCTAACAGAGCCAAGCCTTCTTTGCCCAGTAAGGCAGAACTTAAGAGGCAAAGAACAGATCTCAGCATCATTACGGACACGCTGTGAAATCCCTTATACCTCAATGGAATAAATTTGATTTAAGGTGACCACTGTTGTGCTACACAAAATATAACTGTTAATACTACCACATTTACAATCAGCAGTTGCAAGCAGCCTACCTGATGGCCCAGTGAAGGGGAGTTGAATTCAAATCTCCGCCTAGCTGATCCACTACTGCACCTTTGGAGATATAGTATCTGTGTAACACCACAGTAAGAACAGAGATAAAACAGGAAAACGTCACACTAAGGGTAACACAGCTCTAGTAGTAAATAGCTTGTAATAAAATTCACTAGAGAAGCAAATGGACAAGAATATTTTTGCAGTAAAGCATGCTGGTTTGAGAAAATGTTTAAAAAAAAAATCATTAGCATGGCACTTATAAAATCTGCTTTAATCTTTGTTACATAAACCAAACCCAGGAAAATCTAATAATTTCACCTACTACATGATTTCAGCTACAAAGAAACTGTTGTAACTTTACATTTCAGTGACATATTCACAAAGGTAACTGGGTTAAAATTTGAATTTTACGCTTTTCTTCTTAAGCAGCATGTTGCTTTGTTTTGAAATACAATAGCAACAAAGTGGTTATAAATAACAGTGGCAGAATACTTGTGTTACTATCACAAAGACTCTAGAGCTTACTTCACCAGCTCCTGTCTGTTGTTTATAGCTGCCCAGTGAAGAAGAGTCACATTTTCTTTGTCCGGTTGTCGAACATCGTATCCTGCTTCTACCAGTTCTTTGCATCGCTCTACAAATCCATACCTTAAACGAGAAAAAAACCATACCTATTTACTGATCATTCATTTGTTAAGTAGCCTCCAGTTTAGAGACAGCCACATACTAAAGAAAAAGTAAATCTCAGTAAACATCACCCAGCAGTTCCTACTTGAGCAAATTATACACTGCATTCAATAGAAGTGCTGCAAAAAGAGTTAGGCTGAGCCTTGATGAGTAGAATTTTCTGCCAAAAAAAACCCAAACCTGGATGAGATACCATTGTTTATCATAAGAATATTTACAATAGTACCCTTAGGTGATTTTTCTTCTTTCACTACTGCCGTGGTTTAACTCCAGCAGGTAGCTAGGGCCACGCAGTGCTGCTTGGTCAGCTGCTCCCCCCAGCTGGGACGGGAGAGAAAATCAGGAAAGTGAGAAAAAATTTGTGGGTTGAGATAAAGACTAACCTTTAATAGGAATGGAATTAAATTAAGAGGAATGGAATGAAATGGAATATGTTTTCAGTCAGATGGGGTCAGCTGCCCTGGCTATGTCTCCTCCCAGTTTTTTGTGCCCCCCTCAGCCTGCTCGCTGGTGGGGTGGTGTGAGGAACAGAAAAGGCCCTGAGCACCTAGCAACAACTAAAAACACCAGTACTATCAACAGCATTTCCCATCCCAAACCCAAAATGCAGCACTACACCAGCTGCTAGCAAGAAAGTAAATTCTATCCCAAGTGAAACCATGACAACTACAGGGAGGAAACAGAACTCTAAAATCTCCCTTTGTGTAAAATTATCCAGGCTGGCTCACATCTGAGGACACTCCCATCTATTTCAACATTCTGCACACACATTACATCTACTTACTGTGTAGCCTTGACGATATCACAGGTGCTGGGGTCTTCAACAACAGGATATGGTCCCTGTAGCACTGGTAGATCTTTATCCCTGTGGGTGCTATGACAGTTGTGCGCATGAGGTCGATGAGGCCCATGGCAATGGTTTTTACACTGTTGGTTAACAAAACATCTATCAACAAACATTATTTATACACTGTACACCACACCTTCCTCTTTACCAGATGCACACACTATACTTATCATAGAATGGTTTGGGTTGGAGGGGACCTTAAAGATCATCGAGTTCCAACTCCCCTGCCCTGGGCAGAGACACCTCCCACTAGAGCAGGTTGCTCAAAGCCCCATCCAGCCTGGCCTTGAACCCCTCCAGGGATGGGACACAGCTTCTCTGAGGAACCTGTTCCAGTGCCTCACCACCCTCACAGTGAACAATTTCTTCCTGGTATCTATCTAATCCAAATCTAACCTCTTCCAGTTTGAAGCCATTACCCTTCATCCTATTACTAAATGCCCTTGTAAAAAGTCCTTCTCCAGCTTCCCTGCAGGCGCCCTTTCGATACTGGAAAGCTGTTACAAGGTCTCCCTGGAACCTTCTCTTCTCCAGGCTGAACAACCCCAGCTCTCTCAGCAGAGGTGCTCCAGCAATACGTGCTTGTCAAGTCATGTCAATATAAATCAGGAAGTAAAATTAAAGCACAGTTAAAACCACCTGACAAGAGGCTAATCCCTTCAGTCGGCACAGGGACAGGGGAGGACAGAAAGGGTAGGGTTAAGGTTCTAACTGTGAAGGCACTGAACACCTCGCAGAGCCGGCTCCTGACACAACGCACTGATGCCACCACACTAGAATCACAGAATTGTTGGAGTTGGAAGGGAACTTCTAGACATCACCTAGTCCAACCCCCCATGGTTGCCCAGAGCACAACACTCAGGATGGCATCCAGGCAGGGCTTGAAGATCTCCAGAGAAGGGGACTCCACACCCTCCCTGGGCAGCCTCTTCCAGGGCTCTGCCACCCTCACCCCAAAGAAGTTCCTCCTCAGATTGGAGTGGAACTTCCCACGTTCCAACTTGTGCCCGTTGCCCCTCGTCCTGTCACTGGGAACCGCTGAGAAGAGTCTGGCTCCATCCTCCCTCAAACCACCCTTTAGATACTGTGTCACCCTGTGTCCCCCAGCAGGTCTGGAAGCAGGAGGCCACTCCAGAGCCCCACAGCCGGCTGCCCGCCCCTTGAAACCAGACGCGAAGCACTAGAAGAGGAACCAGAAGGGACACAGACCTCCATCCTCGGCCCACAGCCGGGGTACACCAACCCCAAGGCGGGGAACCGGCCACCCTCACCCCCGTCCCGCCGCCTCACAGGGCCCCGAGGCCTCCCCGCCGGCCCCAGCCCTCAGGCGGGGCGGTCCCGGGCACCTCCCGGCGGCCCCCTCAGCAACCCACCCTTCCCTCCCCGCTTTCTCCCCGGGGCCTCCCCTCACCGCGGGGCCGCCAGCGGCCATGCTCCCTGCCCGAAGCTCCGCTTCCTGCGGCCGCTTCCTGGTTACCGGCTCCGGGAGCGGCAGCGAGGGCGGGGCCGGGCAGACAGAGGCCGGGCAGTCGCCGTGCCGGGCCGCGGCGGCCTGTTGCCGGTGACAGCAGGGGGGGAATCCTGTGGAAAGCGTCCCTGAGCTCCCCCGGCTGCCGGAGGGCCTCTGGGTGTCTTCGGTTCGGCCTCAAAAGGCGCCCCCCCCCCCTTCCCCTTTTCACAGGCAACAAGGTGGAAATGACTCATGCGGTGGGTGCGTGTGTTTTCACACAGGGCCCTCCTCCCGCTTCCACGGGCAAGGACCTGCCGGCACAGCCTCTCGGGGGTCCGGCTGGAGGCCAGCCCCAGGCCCTGCCTGCCAAGGGGTTTCCAGCCGGGTTATCATCCGTCCCACCCGCGCCACCCCGGATACCCGGAGGAGCCCAGGTCAGCTTGGAGCCGGCGCAGGGTTCAAAGGCTGGCCCTTCGACCTTAAAACGTGTGAGGAGGAGTTTGCAGCCCTTGTAAAGCTCGTAAAGGTGCTGACAGCTGATAATCACAGAACTGTTGGACTTGGAAGGGACCTCTAGAGACCATCCAGTCCAACCCCCCTGCCAAAGCAGGGGTGCCCAGAGCACATCACTCAGGAGCATCCAGGAGGGTCTTGAAGATCTCGAGATCCAGCATTGGAATAGGCTGCCCAGGGAGGCGGTTGAGGTACCATCCCTGGAGATGTTCAAAAGACAGGTTAACATGGTCCTCAAGAATATGGTTTAGTGATTTATTTATTTTTTTTTCTTACTTATTTTTTTGTCAGAGTTTGGTTGATGGTTGGACTAGATGATCTTTAAGGTCCCTTCCAACCTAGACGATTCTACGAGAGAAAGGGACTCCACACCCTCCCTGGGCAGCCTCTTCCAGGGCTCTGCCACCCTCACCCCAAAGAAATTCTTCCTCAGATTTGAGTGGAACTTCCCCTGTTCCAGCTTGTGCCCGTTGCCCCTTGCCCTGTCACTGGGAACCACTGAAAGGAGGCCACCTCCATCCTCCTTCAACCCACCCTTTAGATACTTGGAAGCATTACTAAGGTCTCCCCTCAGCCTTCCTTCTCTAGGCTACAGTCCCAGCTCCCTCAGCCTTTCCTCATCAGGGAGATGCTCCAATCCCTCCATCATCTTTGTTGCCCTACGCTGGACTCTCTCCAGCAGTTCCCTGTCTCTCTTGAATTGGTGAGCCCAGAACTGGAGGCAGGATTCCAGTTGTGGCCTCCCCAGTGCAGAGCAGAGGGGGAAAATGACCTCCCTCCACCCACTGGCCACACTCTTCCCTACGCAGCCCAGGATAATGTAAGCAAACATCATGGTATGAAATAATTACCCTATTCCTGAGTACATGTCCAAAAAAATAATAATAAAAAAAAGCAATGTCTCATTTAGGAGTGCCCATGCACCGTTCAAAGCAGGAGTGGCCATCATAAAGCACGTAGGGCAGGGGCAGAATAGGAATTATTAAAGCAATCATAAATCCATTCTCTTAACGCTCAAGGTCTTGATGTTGCAACCTTAACAACGCTCATTTGGCGTGTCTTTGTATGTAGCTTCCTGCAACTGTTTTTAAGGCGGGAAGAAGTATTTTCTCTTTTGTGCAGCCACAGCAAGACTTTCATTTATCATTAGAGCCGTATCTACCATTTCAGTCAAAAAAACCCAAACCCCTCAGTACACAGCAAAGGGCAAAAATAAGCTGTTACCAGCTATCTGGAGCAAACTGAAAATGCTCATTGGTTAGCACTGCGGGCTGGCATCAGACAGGAGATGCCCTTGTTCCTTCCTCCCTCCACGATCCATGGAAAACCTCCCGCTCAACCCAGCGCCAGCCAACAGAGATCCGAATGGGTTTGGGGGCTGCATGCAGGGGGTTCTGACCTGGTAAGAGGAAGCCTGGCCGGGCACATCAGGTGTATTCTCAGCTGAGTGTTGTCGCCTTGGAGAAGGGATAGTTCTCCATCACATCCTTTACGAAGCTCATATCCTGCCCGTAAGTTTGCCAGCCACGAGAGGTTCTCCGAGTTGTGCAAGCTTCAATGAGAAGATGGAAAATTTCAGAAAAAAAAAAAAAAAAAAATTCAAATGCTTTATCGGCTTGTTTGGTTGCCAGAAATAAAAAGCAACTCTTCACCATCCTACAGCCTGTTGGCTTGTCAGATCTGATGCTGCAAGCAGTAATAGTAGCAGGGTTTCACAGAAGTCACCAGAGTACTGTAAAGCGAAGAGTGCTGGTACCTTACAGATAGAGCAGCTGTCAAAAAACTTTTTTTTTTTTTTATGACTGCTGATAGCACCTTTTGTACCTTGTATAAACTTCAGGTGAGATTTTTGATCGTTTTTAAATATGTTTATGAGGTAGGTAAACATTACTTAGAGCCTCCTCTTCCATACTTGGCTATTATTTGCTTTTCTTGATCTTTTTACTGTCTGACCTTCCTGTTTCTCAGGCTTCATCTTTCTACCCTGCTTTTTTTTTTTCCTTCAGTTCCAATCCACCTCGCATCACCATTTATTGCCTGGAAGGAAACAGACAGCTACATTGGGATCCACAATCACCGCTGAAAAGGCAGCTTAGAAACCCACACTCCAGGAATCCCAACGTTCACGAGCATGTTAAATGAATATGGGAAACTATTCCCCATCAAGCTCTTTTTAGCAAGTATTGCAAGGTCATTTCTCTGGCCTGGGCTGTGCTTGCTCTTGCGGGACATGCTCCCACACCTGCACTGCCCCAAGTCTCCTTCCACGACCCTGCAAAGGTACAAGTTGAGCACCTCCTAGTCATGCTGCAAATTTAGGGCTGGAATATCCCAAATTGCGTTAATTTAGGCCCCCCAGTAGACAAAAGTAACAGAAATAAGCGTTTTTTCCACTGTCAGAGAGAAACTGACTAGGTGATTTTAAAGTCTTTTCATTTCTAAATTCTTGTTAATTTTAGGGTGTTAAAAAAAAGGATTAAAAAAATTATGGAACACATTCAATCACTAAAGAAATAACAACTGTTATTTGTTGTTGTTTAAAACAGCTGAAACTGTAAATGTTATGAATTTTTACGAATTTTTCCAGTACCTTAAGGAGGTGGTTGCAAATACTGTGGCATCTTCTGTCCTCCACGGTTACTGAAAAGCAGGTAGAAAACAGAAACCTGATGCAAACAAACAGAAAAGATTTCCTTCACAAGAATATTTGGAATGAGTCCAGAAAAAAAATAATGTAATTTTGAAGGCGGCTGCTGGAGGCTGCTCACAGTACATCAGGAAAAATTGCTTTATTCTAAATAAACTACCACTTGGCTTTCCCAGTGATTATTGTGGAAGAACAAATGTAGTTACTGATCGTCTGTAAGTTTGGCTAGCAAATCAACATGCCACAGAATGAATGCAAAATCAAATTCCAGCTGACAGGTTAACACAGATTTGCCTTCCATATGCAGAACTGCTACATAAATAGATATTAAAGCAGCTCTAGTTGATAAAATATTGAGAGCTTTAATTTGTTTCAGTATCACAGAATGTTTTACATATGATCTGAATACAGAAATGATGTTGGGGAAGCTGAGGAAGAAATGCTCTTGTGTTAATTCTAAGGTACCATAAAAGGATTTGGTAGGCGTTTTGCTGTTTGGGTACGTAACAGATCCCTCAAAATGCAGAAATAAAACCAAAACTGAAATAGAAAACATGTTGGTGTTTTCCAGTTTGCAAGTTAGGACTTGTTAAAGTAGAGAAGTTATTCTGGTAGAGATTTTTGGCATTATCTGAGATTATTCACAAACCTTAAATCACTTGACTATATGGCAGTGTATGCAGTATGACAGGTGGGAGCAGTAATTACGATAGTACGCTGGCAATTTTCAGCTTGGTCTCTTTTAATCTTTGTTACCTGTGACTCTCACCTCTAGCATTTATTTATTTATTTTTTTTAATACTGAAAAAACCAAACCCAACCCTTCCCGAAACAGGAAACAATTAAGGCTTTTTTTCTATTCTACTACACTTACAAAAGAATCCAAGATTTGGTCCTCAAAGAACAGATGGGCAAACTTCCATTTTAAACTACATACTATTTTTATTGTATTTGTCTTTTTTGGAACATACAGTGGTTACTGATTTAATTTCTTTTTCTTTTAATAGCCAGCCCCTATTATCTCATAGCATACAGTGACAAACTAAGCTTAGACCCAGGCTTTGCTGGACTATTTGTGTACAATAAATTGAGGCAGAACTGAACAGTTTTTTTTCTTTTTTTTCTGCATAATCCTGCATAGTTAACACATCTCACTTATTTATATTCGGTGAATAAAGTTGCTCAAAGTACTTAAGTGTTTGTGTGATTAAGAACAACTTCTACTCGTTCACAATCCTTAAAACACTAAGGCTTGGATTAAGTCCTAAAATAATCATTCTCTTCCCCAAACAGCCTTTTATAAATGACTACGGTCGTAATTAGTGTCATTTTAATTAGATAATGGTAAAGAGATACTTAGGTGATTAGCAGCTTTCAAATAGCATTTTGCACTCACTGGATAAATGACAGAGAAGCAAGTATAAAATAATGCCATTAAATCAGGTCAAATTGTATGAAAATTGCAATTTAGACACTATAATGCTTTTTTATTATGGCAAAACATCATATTACGCATTTTACCTGATTGCTATTGATGTTGTTTTATGAAGCAACATAGGTACAGGGAATAAAATTTTGCATGAAAGTGTATGTTCTCAGAAGAAAAAGTTGGAGGGCACAGATGGCATTCAGTTTAATACTGGAAGCTACTTCCTTATTCTGTCACTCCCAAAAAGCTTTCTCCAGTTCTGCTGCTCAAGGAGTTTTTCTGAAGCCACAGGAGTAACACCACAGACCTGCCAACAGAAGGGTCACTGTAATAACACCTCCATTTACACTCCTAAAACATAAAAAAGAGCACCAAACAACAATACTAATTTTGATTAAGCTGTTGTCTGTAAGGCAGTTGAAAATCAGGACACGCTCAGTGGCTCTCCACAAGTGAGGAAGAGACTTGGGACTTGAGAAAACTAGACATGTTGACTACTGGTGTGTGCACACAGCTTTCCCAGTGCTTCATAAACAAAGCTAAGCACAGATCATAGTGCTGTCTGCATTTTAACAAATAAAAGCATAATTTAGGAGAATTGATACTTTTACGGTTAGGGAAGTCCTGATCTGGTGAGTGTTCTCAGCTGGAAAGCAAGACAACTCAGTGGGAGAAAGCAATTTTTTTCCCATGCTCTACTTGGATAATAAAAAGAGATCAGGTTGC